CTGGCTGATGTTCTATCACCTGTATGTCCTTCAGCCTCACTGAGTGGCACGACATTGTGTTTGTAAGTGCGGCGGAAAGTTGGGTGAAGCTCTGCGTGCGTGGCACAGAAACTGTCACTGCAATCCGTACAGACAGTCACCGCTGCTGTATCCTCAGCACAATCATCACACAGTTGTTTAGGTCCAGCACTAGCAGCAGCTACCGCCTCTCCAACCCCATCACTAGACACATCACTGTCTGGCAGGTACTGCAGCAAGGGCACACCTCCCTGTGGTGGTGGAGTGGTTGTTCCACATTCAGGACAACCCACAGAGCCCTTGCCACTGATGTGTTTTTCCAAACACTCCACACACAACGCGTGCAGACACTTCAGCAGCTTGCCATGCTTGCTACTACTTCTACAAGACCCACACTCTGGTCTGGACATGGCTAACTATCAACACAACTGCACACACACAACACCCTGACTTCAATCTGTCCAGTAGATACACCAACACAGAACACTGGAAACTCAAAGACAAAGTCTCTGTACATACCAGCAAGAGTACTCTTGATACCAGCAAGAGTACATAAGTACTCTTGATACCAGTACTGGCGAGTGAAGAACGCCACGCCTGTTAGATTTATTTGGCAAAACTGATTTTTCATTCCTCCACGAATGTTTTATCGCCAGCTTAGCCTAGAGTACTAGAGTGTGCACTGCCCTGTAAGCAGGCTGTATACTATGACCTGGCTTGAATGTAGCTGAACTCTACAGACTACATGTCCACATGTAGGCCCAGAAAAATTCTGCTCCTCTGGCCCATGAACGTCATTTTTTGGCATGTGTCAGCAGATAGGCAGCTGGCACAGCACTTGGTGGTCATTCTGGTTACTGGCCACTGACAGTGCTGTACATAGTCATTGTATGTCCTTGAGTCTCAGTGGCTTGCCCCTGCACTGCTGTCAGTCAGTCTCGCCAAACCAGTGTGTGTGTGTGTGTGTGTGTGTGTGTGTGTGTGTGTGTGTGTGTGTGCATGCGCGCGCGTGTGTGTGTGTGTGTGTGTGTGTGTGTGTGTGTGTGTGTGTGTGTGTGTGTGTGTGTGTGTGCGTGTGTGTGTCCCATATGGTGCAATGGCACGTGCAGTCGATTTCCATTAGACGGTCAATAGTGTTGAATGTTTTAAATTGTTTTGAGTCTTTTGACTATCCTCAATACTATAGTCTATGTTCGGTTGATCATTGTGGTATTGTTTTGATTTTCTCTTCTTGGGTTTCTTTAGGAGCTGGAAGGTTCGTCGACGGAGGCAGCAATTCGAGAGCGTCGACTGAGGTGGTCAACCGTCGAGGCTTCTAACTGTCGCCCGGGTATTCCTTTCATACCGGACCTAGAGCTGCGCAATATAGTGGAGCGTGTGCTGGAACGCTATGAGCAAGAGCTCTTACCAAACTTGTCATCCATGCCACAGGGTGTTGTGCATGGAGACCTCAACGAGTCAAACATCATTGTGGATCCGAGCCGGCCTGATGAAGTGTTTGGCATTATTGACACGTCCGACACAATCTTCGGCCCGTACGTGGTCGATCTGGGCACCGCCATGGCCTATTTGTCACTGCTAATGATAGACGGTGAGGAGTCCCTGGTTGACGCCGTAGCACCGATTGTGAGGAGCTACTGTGCCAAGCGTTCCCTGAACAAGGCTGAGCGTGAGTCGCTGCACTTGTGGATGATGACACGCCAAGTGCAAACCGCCGCGTTTGGCTATCAGGCGTTTGCCGATGACCCCGACAACGAGTACATTCTGGCTAGTGCTCGACTAGTGGCCAGAGGTTTGCCAAAGCTGTTCGCCGCCTCGCCAGAGGACGTGCTGTCTAGCTGGTTTGGTGATGTCGAAGCTCCTGCCGATGATCAGTTATAGCAGTGTGTGTGTGTGCAATGGAAGGTGTACGTCTCAGTGCCAGAGGACGCGTAACGAAGGAGCTGATCCGGCGATGTTCAAGCGCTGGCCGATCACAAGGCATATGGTGCGGTCAGTGAGTTGCGGTGTGTGTATTGTGTGTGTATTGTGTGTGTATTGTGTGTGTATTGTGTGTGTATTGTGTGTGTATTGTGTGTGTATTGTGTGTGTATTGTGTGTGGCTTTCAGCACACATACACTCCTGTACACCTACGTCTACACCTGTGTACATGTACGTCATGGCATGACGTGGGTGCAGGGATATTCACCACTAAAAGGCACATGCTCGACTTCAGCTGTGTTCCGTGTATGAGCAGACATACACGTCGTGTTTATCTTCGGCTTGCTGAGTACCTCCCATCACCAGCTGCTGTGCGAAGTACGCATCTTGGAGGAGCTGCAGCGATATTGGCCGGTGAAGAACAGGTTCAGCTTGAGTTATGCCTCGTGCGTGAGCAGCCAGGGTGTAATCTAACTTTTGCACTGATGCCAGTGATGGCATTGCAACCCTGGCTTGTTATTTCTTTCTTTCAGCAAGTGCCCCCCCCCCCCCCCCCCCCGGTTTTGTTACAAACTCTATGATCCATAGAGGTTGGTGGTGTTCCTACGGATGCGCAAAACGTGGCCTCCAGCCGAGTCTGACACGAACCGTGATTTTTTTGCTACACACCACTGTTTAATACAACTGCCTGCGAGCACCATCGACGTCATGTTTCCACCCGCATGGCGTTTGCTGGCCAACAAGTCATAAGTGCCCGTTGTGTTGCCTTTCACCTAGTGCCTACTTCAAAGTAGATGATGGGAAAAGCACTTTGCTTTGTGTCCCTGGACTGAGACCTGCTTTTAAGTTTACTCCGAAATGTTTGGAAATATAATTTCAGCTTTTGTTTTTCCTTTTTGTTCGATTCCTGGGTATTGGATTTCCTGCCTTGAAACCCACCAGATTTGTTGTTGCAATAGACCAATCCCGAAAAGATTGTCTGGGTTCGTGAAAGGGGGCACGCGTGCAAGCCAGCACGTGTGAAGTGCATCGTTTTGTATTCAGTTTGTGTGTGTCAGCTCATGGCGGAGGAGAGAGAGACTTTTGCTCGCCGAGCTGAAGCTAAAGGATTTGATGGAGTCCTGCCAGCAGCTAGTCAAAGGACCTTCGGTACCTTAGGCAGACCCTGACGGAGTTTGGAGGCCAGATAGCTCTCGGTGAGGAGAGAAACATTCGCGTGGCGATCGACTCTCCGTAAAAATGCAAGCTACATAGCGCCGACATACTACAACAGCTACGATTTCAGCTAACTATTACTTCTCGATCTGCTGCTCCACAAAGTTCAACTATTTACAAGTCCTGACTGTTGTAGTCTGAAGCTGGAGTCTCATCGCCCACCTACAGGTAGCTTTTGGAGCTGATGGATTTCCCGACTTGGACTCCTTCCGCAAACTCTCGCAACATTACTACAGTGTATGCTGTGTTTCCGCACGCTCGTGTCGACATGTCACCTATACTGTACATGTACCGGGTCGCGGAGGAGCTTGACGACCTCCGCTGACTCCAGGTTTCCGAGATACTGCCGTCGTCTTCGTTGATGTCGCTGGTGACATTCTCCCCTTGCAGGACGTGCACATAGTTGTCGTCCCGGGGGTAAAGACTATGTTGTCTTTCGAAATAGTTCTTCATCACGCTCGCGCGAATGATGTTTCTCATCATGAACTCGTTCCGACGGTGTGACATGGTGATGGTCTTTGGCGGGGCACTGGTTTGGCGAAAACGATATCTTCTTGTGCAATAATATATAACATTGATCGGCTGCAGATGAGTACAGTCACTTCGTGGTTGATCCTATAGGAGGGCAGCTGCCAGGAAAGAGGCAGGACTCATCGAAGACGAAGCGCTCGCAACAAACAATAGCACTCGAAATATCTCGTAAGATTTAGGGCCTATCGCTTTGAGCCACAGCGCTCACAGCCTTGCCTACTTCATCAAAGTGAGCTCTACATGTTCGTTGACCACTTCACACTACACAGAAGAGCGAAACAAGGATTATGTCTTAGCATTTCCACTCCAACAGCAGACCATTACCAGTGCGAGAGAGAAAACTACAAAGGGCTTTGCTTTCTGTCGCATCGTCTCTCTTGCATGCAACTAACGAGAAAACCGTGTACTTACCCTCGCATTCACATGCGAACTATCAAACACGTCCTGTGCCGCATGCTGATCAGGTAGTGCCATGTATGTGTTGTACAGACTCAGTGTACTCTCAGTTGACATGCCCCCTTTCGAACCCAGACAATCTTTTCGGGATTGGTCTATTCCATCATTAACCTTTAAATTTTGTCCTGTTCTTTATTTCTGAACCTGTTCTTTTGACGTTTCACTGTGATGAGTAAAAGCACTCGGTAGTAGCCTTGGTTGCAGCCTTGGTTACAGCCTTGGTTGCAGAACAGGGAGCCTTACACATACGATCAAGAGTTCATAACCCTGACCCCCAGCTAGGGGGTCACGGACTCTTGATAAACTCTTGGTACAATAACTGTTATACAGTGTGCTAGTGTATGACTCCCTCCTGTTTGTAGTCCTAGCCTGGGTATTGTATCACAGTATGGTGTATGACTCCCTCCTAGCCTGGGTATTGTATCACAGTATAGTGTATGACTCCCTCCTAGTCCTAGCCTGGGTATTGTATCACAGTATGGCATTACCGTCTCCCGTTCGCAAGGGAACTCACAACAATGGAATAACAACTGTCAACAATACATTGCACCAGGACGGCAGGAGTCACGGAAACTAGCCACAGTGTAGTATCAGAACCATGTACATGTACATGATTGTATGTGCGTGTAGGGCTCCCTGGCACAAACTGGGTGTGTACTGCATTATGGATCTGTACAATATTTGCACAGAGTCTGTCACCACACGGGTAACAAGGAAGGAGGTGGCCAGTTCCGATACCATGGATACCAAGGATACTGGCCAGCGCCAAAACTTGCAAAAGATTACAAATACAATCATGCAGATCTACAATACAATCATAACATCCCACAAGCTCTTGCCTGCACTGCAGCTTGGTGCATCGTTGAACAAGTAGCAAGAATGTGCCGAAGTGAAGGCTCGAACGACACTGAGTCAGATCTTGTACTTGTACGACTCGTCAAGGTGGGAAGTTGTATTTCTCGCCGGCCGAGCGCAGCGAGATAGGCGAGAAATGATTTCTCGCGAAATATTTTTCAGTTGCAAATATGGCATCTGGTGTGTTCTTTGTTGTCGCTTCTTTTCCTGACTTCTTCAGTCAGTTTTGAGTCTCACCAGTGTCCCTGCCCTCCCACCCTTTAGTTCTGTGCATATTATCAATGCTTTTTATTACTTTTTGCCGCGATGTGCTTGCCATGCCTACATGATGCCTAATCGCCATTGGGGATATACACCCGGTTTTTTCCCTCACAAATGCGTCCGTCGGCGCGAGGGTTTTTTCCCGGCTGGCTCGGTCCAGGAAAATTAATCTGACGGTCCCAAGTGGTTCTGCATCATGGCCTATTTCTGCTATCCACTGGCACGACTATTCTATCTGAGACACTCTGTTCTCAGTCCTTGCTTGCTTCCATACCTCACTCATCCGGTTCACATCTGGCTGCGGCCAACTACCCTTCACTTTGTGTGTTGTCGCTATTGCTGTCTATGTCTCTGTCTATGACAGTATAATAATTATTATGTGGAGCGAGAATGGCACATGACCGAAACTAGTGAAGAATCTTGACACCCGTCACAGGGTGCTCGAACAATGCAAAGGTGTGCCAGCTATGGACTATGGAGTATGGTACCTGTTCAGCAGTCTTCTTCGACTCTAGACTAGCACGTAGTGTGCCAGCTTGATCGAGGACACAGAGAGCGATAACTATCGATCGAGACCCATGGTGTGCTAATCAGATTCTTTGCTCGAGGTGTTCCCCCTGGCAGCGACGCGGCACCTTTCGGGAGATCGATCGGTGGGCAGTCGACACTTCACTTCGCTACAATGTAGGCCGGAGTAGTAATTACTATACATATGTACAGTAGTAGCACTAACACGTAGACTACTAATACTAGTATAAAGCAGATCAGTCTATGGAATAATAATTATAATGATTATTAATATTATGGTGTTACTCCTGCATAAACGATTACATGTACGTAGATCTACGAGTACAGTCATGTAGTACCGGTAGCTATTTACATTTTGTCCATACACGGCCCCGTGTCATCGCTGTGTGAACCTCGATCGTTTACGGTTTTAGTCAGGGATCTTCTAGTAAGTAGTATCAACCACAGGAGTTCACAACTCCCTTGGCCTCGGCCGGGTGTAGCTGGGTCTACGCTGTCCCTCGATCAAGCCTTGGAGGCTTCATCACCTTCACGCGGAACCCCAACGAAGACGAGCACCTCCCCCTGCACCTGGTTTTTAGCGCTCGGTGACGTTTGTGGGTACGCAAGGAGTGTTACGAATACGATCGCGTCAGGCATATGGCCATGTACCGTGTCGATTGTAGATCTACACGCATGTACAAAATGACTGCCCCTACGCCTAGGCCCCGGATCTGAATGCACACAATGTCATGTAGATCTACTTTCAACACTAGATCACTTCGTCTTCGAACTGCACGCTAACTAAACTGTTACTTCAGCTCGGTCCATTGCCCGCGAACAAGTACTCCCGATCCGCCAGCTCTTGGCCGTGGAGGGTGAAGATAGGAAAACGCATCACACGCTTCGCGAACATGGGCGCTGATCCGCAGAGTGTATTGTGATGTGCTTGCTGTTCCGCCGCACTACTGCCGAGAGATGCAGCCCTGTGACAATACGCTACATACAACACCGTGACCCTAGCGGGCTTCCGCCTAGCAAGTATGCATCATGAGCTCGTGACGATCTATCTGCCTACCTTCGCTGAACGGCGAAAAGCAGTCATGAGTGGAGAAAGACATCGTGTTCATCGGCCTACATCAGATGGGGCCGATCACAGGCAGGGACCTCTCCGCTAGCGCTCCCAGCCTCGTGCAGAATACCTTGGTACACACTCGTCACGTCACACTCACACCGTGCATGCAGCGCATTGCTTGACAGGCCGGGCGGAGAGAGAGAGAGAGAGAAGGTACTAGTAGAAGCTTGCTGATCATTGCGTTGAACTGAAAAGGTCGGCCGTTTGGTGTCAATGAGGCTAACCTTTCTGATCATTTTTTTCCGCCAGCCGATTCTCTGTTCTTGTTGCACTTCAAAGCAGTTGAGGTGCACAGATTGAGGAGAGCATTGCGGCGTGATCACTGGCCATGGCCACGGCTGCTGTGTGCAGTGTGAGCAGCCGTCCTCTGTCCGCGGCGGAGACGGATGAAGATGATGACTACGACGAACCGTTCTCCAGCCGCAGCACACCGAGTCAGGGCAGCAGCAGTCCAGAGCGCAAGGGTGTGTCGATCGATGCCATCAAGTCCAAGCAAGCACTGGCTCGTATTCTCTCCTTGCAAAAGGATCTAATCGACACGGAAAAGTCTCTGTCCAATGCGGCAACGGCCAGCGTGGGTGGTCAGAGCTCGCTAATACCTTCTGGAAATTCTCGAATCAGGATATCCGCTGTGCCTAAACCACCTCGCGTGCAGAAGCGTGATCCGAACGGCATGAACAACGCCAACAACGGCGGGGCGAGCAGCACAACTGACAGCGCCGCCACCCCTCAGCCATCTGGTCCTGTCAAGAAAGCGGTGATTCCACCGCCGTCCGCACCTAGGCGGCCATCAGTGGGCACAGTGCGAGAGGTGACGGACGCCGAGTATCAGAGCTTGGACGCAAGCTCAGTGGAACAAACCGTGTACACATCACGCACAAGCAGTGCCGGACTGCACGAGGAACGCAGTGTACATGCAAGGTCCAAGCAGTCTCCAGGCTGCCTTCCCAGATCGACAAAGTCCACACAAGTCATAACGCCAGCCATGCACGAAATGCCTAGTAACTATCCTTCCATGATATCGGATACCGGTCAGCAAACTCACCACCAGCACCACCAACATCACCACCAGCAACACCAGCAGCAGCAGACTGGGCCGCCAGGGGTTCAGCTGAAGGCTACGCTTTCATCACCGCCAGAATACAGCCAGGCCATGGCACCAAATCCGAACTTCAAGCGCACGCAGGGCAGTCTGACGCGCAGCTACATGTCCGAAGCTCGTCAGCCAGCGGCGTACGTTTGCTGCAAGAAGTGCGGTGCAACGCTTAGCCGCAAAGCATCGCTATTACTGATTAGCATCTCTCTACTGCTCTCAACGTCAGCCATCGTTCTGTTTGCATTACTGGTCACAGGAGTGATTGAGATTCAGAAATCCTCGTCGCCTCCACCGCCGGCACAGAACACCATCCATGCACAGTACAAGGAAGAGCACATCACCGGCAACGAGAGGAAGAAGTCGGTGAGTACTGCCGTGCGTGACGGCGTTGGCGGTGGTGGGGACCTGGCTACGCAGTCCGCACTGTTTCCTGCCGGCGGCGCCTGGAATGGTCTGGGAGCTCAGTCGGCAGCAGGCGCACCGATAACAGGTCAGTCCTCCCAATGTGAAATACACTGTGTACATGGCAACAACAAGGATCAACTGCACACTCATTCTCTATACACATCAAGGCAAGGGTGGTGGGTAAGTTCCAAGAACGTTTTCTCGTGATTGTCATCAGTTGGAATAACACCACATTCACGGGCGTCGGAAGGTATTTTAGCGTGGTAGGATCAGCCATCTGAAGTACAATTTACTCGTTGGGGAGTGGTGGCTTAGCCGAAATTTTTGGAAATTTAGATCCCAGATGAGAGTATTTTATTGATGCAAGGGGTATCTGGGGCAAAAAGTGGTACGGTCAATACCGTAGTGACCGCACCGTGTCCGACGCCCCTGACATTATTGATACGACGTATCCGTCGTATCAATAATGTGAAGCTATTCCAACTGATGACAAACACGAGAAAACGTTCTTGGAACTTACCCACCACCCTTGCCTTGATGTGTATAGAGAATGAGTGCGCAGTTGATCCTTTTTATTGCGATTATTGCGTTCGACTGCACACAACAATGCGTGCAGTGCTAGTGCCATGCATCACCCGGCGCTGTTCCATTCATGAGGTTTGATATCTCTGGCCAGTACTGTACTTAACCTGCAAGAGTGCTATAAGGCCTCGGACACCACTGAGCTAAGAGTCAGAGGTACATGCACATTCTACTGAAGTTTCTTTGTACTTGTCACTATTTGAACTGACGTATAGATCTGAGCGTGAGGTACTGAATGCACCTGTATCTTCTCCTTCGTTTCTTGTTGTTTCCAGCTACCGTGAAGCAAAACTGCTCAATCTACGAAGTAAGTTAGGTACATTTTCCTTGCGAGTGGATCAGGCAAAGAATTGCATGAGCGCCTTCGTGAATTGTTGGTAGCCATCCTTTCATTGCATCCTAGACAGTAGTGTATAAGGCGTAGCTGCTAATATCCCAGGAATGACAGCCAGATATGTGTACAATCACTTAGGCATTTTGAATATTTTGATCTCATCGGGACTGTGCATGTAGCAGTCGTGTGCATCACCTTGTCTTCTGCAAGCTTGCATGTCGTGGCTGTTTGTATCTCTCCTTGTCTCCTGCAGGCTTTGCCAGGCACAGAGGCTTACACTCACATCAAAGTCTGCTCCGGGCCTAGAGGGGAGCAAGGCCCTGCTGGACAGAAAGGTGAAGTGGGAGCTGCGGGTCCACCTGGTCACCGTGGATATCCAGGTCACCGGGGCGACATGGGAATGGTGGGACCACAAGGTGCCAAGGGAGAGCGTGGGTTCCGCGGCATACACGGCCCACAGGGCATCAAAGGCGAGCGAGGGTACAATGGTCTGCCCGGTTTTACCGGTAACCTTGGTCCCAAGGGCGACCCTGGAGAGCTTGGTCCGAAAGGTGAGCCTGGAATGATGGGCCAGCCCGGTGAGCAGGGGTTGCCCGGTCCTAAGGGCGAGCCTGTGTACCTGCAGTTCTAGTATCAAGTGATTCGCTATCCTTCACCCAAGCAACACGCCGAGCTGCCATGACAACGCACTCACCCTAGCAACAACAGAGCCATCATGACGACACACTCACCCTAGCAACAAGCAGAACTGCCATGAACACACCCATCACCCTGGCTGCATGCCAATGCCCTTAGAAGCACAGTGCACACTGTGCACACACTGCACACACAGTGCATTGAAGTTTGCAGAAATTTACTTCAGCTACACTGCCGAACACGGACTGACTGTACATTGGAACCTAGCTGCACTGTCTGACAATTCTGATCCAGACGCCAGTTCCCTGACTTCCACCAACACACTCCCAATGTACAACAGACAAGTAGTACAGTCATGTAAAGCTAGCCGTGCCGCTGAGGCTCCACCAATCACCATGCCATCAATCATCACTGCCCGCATTGTCACTCTTCGTCATATTTCCGCCGGACGTCCTGCCAGCAGTGAAGCCTACTATACAAGCTATAACGGAGCGGCGATGATGGGCATGCAGCTGAGCATTATGGGCTCCCCACTCTATATCCTCTTAGCTATCCGCTGTCCACAAGACATGAGTACAGGGTAATGGATTTTTAATTTTTTTAAACAAACATGATAATTATTGTATCGATGAAAGTAAAGAGAGCGCGCTCATACCACGAGAACAATGGAACAATATTTAAAGACTTGGACGTCGTTCAAATCTTAAAAATTAATATTGTTCCATTGTTCTCGTGGTGTGAGTGCGCTCACTTTACTATCATCGATATTAGGTTTCTTGTCTCCACGCCGACTTTTTGATAATCATAGTAGGAGTACAATGGAATCCTGAACCAAGATTTACGGTGTCAGTTCAAATTTTAAAATATCCTGCTCAGTCGATCTGTATGATCTGATTTTGCTTCAACTTTTTTTTAAATAAACTCGACCCAGCTTATATAATTATGGTGATTATAGTGAGTACTGTACATACAATACGTATTGCACGATGCCTGCTATCATTATTCAAGCACTTGTGCCATCATGCGATCAGCATTTTCCAACTGAGATAATTATACCTGCATATGCTCCGTACTTTGACACCGTTCAAATGACTTTCGAACCACACAGTCGCATGACTATTGTGCACCAAAGTATATATGTACATGATTGTACAATGTAATTTATTCCTCATGCTACATCATGTACCGCCATGTGCTATTGATGCCTCTTACTAATGCTCTATCTTGCATGCTTGCCGCGACACAAACTCTTACTTTACTGATCAAAGGTGATGCCACTCATCTCGACCCTGCATCAAACGTCTTTTACCAGTGTTGGCCCAGTGCCGGTTCTGGACAGAAACTGTTCCTGAATGTGGCAGCTTTGTTGCTGCCTTGCCCATGCCTCCACTCGCAGACATCACAGCCGGAACAAAAGTGGCATGCTCCACTTGTCTCACTCTCTCTTCGTAGTGCCTTCGTTTCTCTCTTTCATGTCGATGATACACAGTGGTACGTGGTGCAGACTGATTTGAGCGAGCATAAGGATTAAAAACCCGGACATCAATAAGGGTTCGCTCAAATCGACTGCCCCACAAACCACTGGCAGCGACATCAAGGCGTGCATGATCCTCCACGTTGGCCGTTCGGTATTGCAATCGCTCACCGGTCAGTGGCTGCAGCGTAGGCTCCGTGGATACATTGCTACAGACTTGGTGTAGGAGCTGTGCGGTAGTGTCGCGAATGGCATTGTGTCGTATGGTGGGAAACCCTCCATGAGGACAGGATAGTGAGTGAGAAACGCTCACCTCTTGGCCACATGAACAATGAGTCGGTATTCTCGCCGGCGTCCATCCATAGCGGAGACACAGGCCGTCCCAGAACTCTTGCTTCGTGAGGCTGAAGCCGTACTTCTTCAGCGGACGACATGTTAACCAGCTAGATGAACTCTTCTCTCTAGCAATATCGATGACATTACGCAGACTCGCGGATGCATTCTGGACCACGTCCTCCATTGCCGCTGCCTGCGCTTGACGGGACTCTGCCTTGACTTCTGCCTTCATCTTGCGCAACCAGACAGAATCTTGCTGGTGAGAGGCTCGGTAATGCGAACTGACGAGTTGTATTGCCCACACAAGGACATAGGGCTCGTGATACCCAAGCCGCCCAAACGACATGGGAGAGCGAACACGCGCCGGAGATCCCCACCAGGAGGTGAGCGGCAGGTCAACGCTGGAATCAGTTTAGTTCTAATGGCACCTTCAAGTGGCTCCAGCAGGTGCTCGGGGATGTCCATGGTTCTGCAGAGAAAGGTCCATTTCCCTCTCAGTCCTGATACAAATGCTGAGTAGGCTGCCTGGGGCTGAGTCTGTGCAATAGTTGCCAGCCGATTGACCTCTTGCACCCAGGTCTCTACCTTTCGTTGAATATATGTCTCCCTGTAAGCCTCAGTGCCCACTGCAGCACCGAGGTAGCGTACTCCCTCAGTCGTGATGGCTACTCCGGTATTTTCGAAGAGATCCCTCGCCTCAACAAGGCAATGTTCCTTCACCACAAGAACAGACTTAGCTGGGTTCACAACGTAGCCATATGCCGGTCCCTGCACCGTCAGGACATCCCACCACTGACGTACCCGATTCAAACGGCCCGCTGCAGAGGAATCATCTGCGAACCAGGACTGCACTGTCTCCTCGCCAGCTGCTGCACGGATCAGGGGTAGCATGCCCAACGCATACATATGCATGGCGAGTGGATCACCCTGCGTCGTGCCTTCTTCGGAAAGAATGCACTCACCATCGATGTATAGAGGCGCAGGTTCCCTGTACGTATTGATCAATATTGTAGCGAGGGGTGGACACAAGTGCCGGACGTTGCGAAGGTAGACTTGTCGATTCAACCGATTGAAAGCGTTGGACGCATCAGCCATAATAATGCCGTCAGTATCATCCTCGGCGAAAGCAGATTGCATCGCATGCACTCCCGCCTCTATGCCGCAGTCTAAGCCAGCACATAACTGGTCACATCCGACTGCCCCCTGCACAGCATGACCGGCAATGGAGAGGATTGCCTTACTGATAATTCGTCTTACAACCTCTCCAATACCTATTGGCCGAATACCTGGGCACTTATCCAGCGCTATCAGGCGGCAAGCTGTAAAGGCGGTAAGCGAATCGGGATCGATGTATGCAGTTGCCATCCGCCTGGCACACGGGGCCAGAGCGTCGCACAAAGTGGCTGAGGCGTCTGCGAAATTGGAGCACATGTGCCTCCAAATTTGTGTTATACTAGTAGTACTAGTAGTTGGAACTTGCATTCACGCCTTTCCTCGCAATTGCACCCTTTCTCCCAACACTTCCGCGGTCGGCTCCCTCCGACTCGTGTTATGGTTACACCTTTTATAATAAGGACTGACAGTACGTGTACATAGGGAGCAGTTGCATTCATCAGGACACATTTCACTGGTGTCCTTGTAAGAACGTGTGCATTAGCGGATTATTATTATTATTATTATTATTATTATTATTATTATTAAGCTTCCGTGGAGATAAAAATGTAATCGACGCAATAAATAGAGTAAGCTGCGCACTCAGTACAAACACCATAAGCAAAACTTGTTTTCATGTAAATAAAGAAGCTTGTTCCTAAACGTTTTCGTCGCCATCTCATCAGAGGATTACTGGCAAATCAACAAAAGCTCTTAACTCAATATATATACGCACAATGCAAGTAATAATCTAGACCCTAGCTAGCGCGATAAAATGAGAGCTGAAAGAAACATTACACCATTCAACGATATCAGGTGACAACAGATGCGATAAATTCACCACTAGAAAGTTACCATGCAACCACAAACGAGAACTACTGATCTAAATTCACAAACAATTTCAACGTAAACAAATTCTTTTTCTGCCTACACAAAATCGGCTTAGTGGTAAAATGTAAATAGACTCCAATACACGCAAATACCTTTGACTACGTGAACGAGACCAAACAGAAAAGCAATCATCAGCATAACTAGAACGACAATCACTATTCTGAACAAGATGGTTGGCGATAGAAGATTCATACACCCTAACAACGCTACTAGAACCAGTACATACTTTGGAATTACGTGACAATGTAACCGACCTGACATTCCTTGCCGCTACTGCCAATCCAGACGAGGCCGATGTAGATGTCAGTACCAGTACTAGGTAGGGTCTAAATTATTACTTGCATTGTGCGTATATATATTGAGTTAAGAGCTTTTGTTGATTTGCCAGTAATCCTCTGATGAGATGGCGACGAAAACGTTTAGGAACAAGCTTCTTTATTTACATGAAAACAAGTTTTGCTTATGGTGTTTGTACTGAGTGCGCAGCTTACTCTATTTATTGCGTTGATTATTATTATTATTATTAATTCAACATCTCCTGGCTCGTCAGAAGACTGCCAATATATATGAGAAGTCGGGTGGTAGCCAACCACGGCGAACTGAATAATAAGGAGAGAAACAAAGAGAGTACTGCAAGGGGAGACAGCAAGCAGTGCATATTCAGCAAGGTACGGCAAGGTGATGGCAGGAAGCGGCAAGGTCTGGGACTCCAGCGAAATGGGGCCCTCCAAAGGAGTTCACTCTCTACAAATTTGGCAATGGACTTTGAAAGCTGGCTCAGGGATGTCATGGCTACCTATAGGAATAGCGGGAGTCACGCAGCCCAGCGAACAGAGGAAACTGCCTCTGACCTAATTACTTAGCAGTACTGCCCTTGCGAAGAGTGTAGTGGTCAAGGACTCAAGGACCAACGCAAAACATGTAACTTCCGACTTGCCGTCCATACCACATTGGAAGGCACACTTTCAGACAGCAGCCGGAGGAGCCGGCGAAAACATGCGCTGGTGGGATGACTGCAGGAATAGGCAACGTTTACAGTTTGTGAGTATACTCGTACAAGTCAAGCATTGATACTGTCGTCAATGGCCAGGTGCGGCATTAACATCTCGCTGGATTGCACTCCGAATGAAATGCGCACATACAATAGCAGCTGCTACTCATGAAGCCTACGATAGTTGTTGTCCTTCGCTAGCAGATACCATGCCAATAGCTGCGGCACTCGGTGCGTCAATGGGCCCTATGCGGTTATGGCAGGCAGCATGCTTTTCGAGACCCAACCGTCCACAAGGCCACTTGTCAAGACAACAGGTCTGCAGGCCCCGGCACTGGCCAAGCCAGGGACACAGCGTAGTCGTGAGTGCAGCAGCAGCTTCTATGGCCAGGATGGACAAGAACAAGCCAGGCTCGATCCACAACATGCAAGTATGTGCATTGGGGAGGATGATCGTATCCGTGGAGCAAAGACAACTTTCCAGCCACACGTGCTGGATGTAAGCACTTTTCGTGAGTCGGCCAGTATGCGTGGGCCTGCCCGAAGAAGGACCAACAGGTCCACTGTAGTAGAAGGCAGATATGAGAGCTGTGCAGGAGGATGCTAGCATGATAGTGGTATGTAATGCCCAGGATCATGCGACAAAGAATGTCCATGACAGCGTGCATAGGTTCATCAGACTACTTTTCATGACAACCCGCTTGCAGATAGCCAACAAACAAAAAGAGGCCGGACTACTTGGATACTGGCGCCGCAACCGGAGCCGGACAAGCGGTGTTGCACAACTAACGCAACCTAGCACGCAGAATCCTCCAGGCCTACATCGGTAGAGGTGTGGACACTCTTCGTATGGCCGATGCTACTTTATCTTCATGCAGGTGAGCGCAGTTTCTCCTTCTCTTGCTTGAAGATAGAGCAGGAAGGGCATTGGCAAGTGCTGTTCAAACAAGATGTAAATCAAGGAACCGGACAATACTGTCGCAGCCTTGGCCCCTGGATGCGCACACTCATGTGTTCGAGACAAGCCCAGTGACAATCATGGTGAAGCCCAGTGCAGTACGTTACTAGCAGTTGCCTCAACCAGCATACCACCCACCCTTCAGTGTCCGGGACGAGAGCTAGGCGTGGCTTCAGCGCCTCACCAAAGCCGACATGATCGAACCAGTCAAGGTCAGAATGGATTATTCTCTGTTCCCGTCTGCATGCGGGGCTAATGGGTATCTACAGCTCTATGTCGATTCAGGCAAAACTACCGTCTGTGAATGCATGCTGCCTGAATATTGAGGACATAAGTTCAAATAACTACTCGAGGGCATGGATGGCAGGTCTTTTGATGCAGGGTCCGGGTTCCCCCAGAGTGTAAACCTTAGTTTAGCATCTTTAGGTCTCAGTTTTGCCCCTGCGGATGTTCCACGCAGCTGCAAAGAGGCATCCGGAGAGATATCAATGCATGCACTTGGGTGCACCATTCTGCCAGCACACGCCAAGCAATTGTGCCATTCTGCCAGCACACACAAAGCAATTGGACTAGATCGGATGGCACAGGAAACAGTGCTATGGAATAGTATTAATTTTGTAAAGTTGTGGCTGAAAGCGGGTTGCCGGTGAACATCATGAAGAAGAAAGACAACCTGACAAGTCGGCAATTAAGTTTTCTGGACACAACTCGCCCACCTGGTGTAAATTACTAGAGAACAGAATGCATTTCAATCTGATGGAACTGGATAAAGGTAGGCAATGAAGTAAATCTACACACCCTGCTCCGGGCAACGCGAGCTATACAATATTAGTGGAAAGCTAACAGCATGCAGTGTAAAAATAGACTCTGATCGAGAGCCAAGGATTAATTTATAGTGTGAAGAATAAACAGTTCTAGTTTTCAACCATTGAGAGAGGATATTTCGAAGCTGAAAGTCAAGTCTATGTTCTAACCCATAACCTCATAGACATCGCCTTGGTCCATTCGGCTCGGATGGTTTGCGTAGGAGCCAGGTTCGGCTCCCATGTCCTCGTAGATCTGCTCATCCGGGTTTCCAACGTCATCATACAGCACCTCTCCCTTGGCGAGCTGCAGTTTCTCCGAGCTGGCCGTGTCGTAGCTCGGCTGCCGCTTCATCTGCTCTAGCATGCTGCTGCGCGGCATGGCGGACGTGTCTGCGTTGACCGATGTGCTCTGGGTCATGTAGCCGGGGTTCTCCACTTCCAGAACGGGCTGCTCGGAGAGACGCTTGGAGCGCTGGCCGTTGAACGTGATAGTGCTGCGTTGGCGGCGAGTCGGCACAACAAGAACAACAGGTGGACACACAGAGAGGACACACAGACAACTGTAAGCTATGCTCCTCATCACTTACTCACACATAGCAAACACCAACTCAGCACCCGATGGGCTGCTCAGGATAAAGCCCCTTCCACTGAGTCTGACAGCCCCCATAGCGGGCAGCTCTGACCAAACTTAGCTCATTCGTAGGGCACAGTGTCCCCGAGCCAGTGCACACACACTATCTCAGGGTCAGTACTTCAGAAAGACCAATAGCTGGGAGTGTAACTTTGAGTACTCATACGATTCTCCTTCAGGTGCTGCAGTAAGAGTAGTTTTATACAGCGTTGCTCAATGAAATCCAATCGTGTGAGTAATTACTGTGCAGTGTACTGGTGCACATCGCTTGCTGCCGACTGGTTCAGGGCGCAGGGCACTAACTGGCGCAGGGCGCTGACTAGCGCAGGGCGCTAACTGGTTCAGGGTGCTAACTGGTGCAGGGTGCTGACTAGTGCAGGGCGCTAACTGGTGCAGGGCGCTAACTGGTTCAGGGCGCTAACTGGTTCAGGGCTATAGCTGGTTCAGGGTGCTAGCTGGTCAAGGGTGCTAGCTGGTTCAGGGCACTAACTGGTTCAGGGCGCTAACTGGTTCAGGACGCTAACTAGTTCAGGGCGCTAACTGGTTAAGGGCGCTAGCTGGTTCAGGGTGCTAACTGGGGTTCAGGGCACTAACTGGTTCAGGGCGCTGGCTGGTTCAGGGCGCTAACTGGTTCAGTGCGCTAACTGGTTCAGGGCGCTAACTGGTTCAGGGCGCTAACTGGTTCAGGGCGCTAACTGGTTCAGGGCGCTAACTGGTTCAGGGCGCTGGCTGGTTCAGGGCGCTAACTGGTTCAGTGCGCTAACTGGTTCAGGGCGCTAACTGGCGCTAACTGGTTTAGGGTGCTAAGGGCCTGGTCAGACTGCGGCAGAATCGAAATAATCCTGTGATTATAATCCGAATCTCCATAGTAACTTGCCGCCAGAGCGACAAAAGTGGGAGTTGACGCTCCAAAAAAAGCAAGAACGGACCACGCTTTTCCGCTCCAAACAGGAGTTGGACGCTGATACGCCATTGACGCTGATATTCACTTATTTCTTAATCGCGACATCGAAGAGCTAATTGGTCACGGACAACAACAAAACTCCGAAGGATGGTTGCAAGGATTGCACTGAAGGTGTTGGTGATCCCCAAGGTGAAGGAATTCGATGTCGTTCGTGGAGATTACCACTTGACGCTCGAAATGAAGTTTGAGTTTTCATTCTCCCCACATGTGTAGTGTGATCTCGATTCTAATTCTGGACGCTTTTCTTTTTTCGCCAGGCAACCAAAATTTGCCGCAGTCTGACCAGGCCCTAACTGGTTCAGGGCGCTAACTGATGTAGGGTGCTAACTGACTCAGGACACTACTAGTAGCTGATGTAGGGTGCTAACTGATTCAGGACACTACTAGTAGCTGATGTAGGGTGCTAACTGATTCAGGACACTACTAGTAGCTGATGCAGGGTGCTAACTGGTGCAGGGCAGTGCTAACTGACACCAAGTGCCAGCTGGTGGAGGGCGATAAACCATGCCGACAGGTCCACAGCATTAACTAGTGTAGAGTGCAGCAGGGCGCAGGGCGTTAGCTGGTGCAGGTTGCTAACTGGTTGAGCAGGACGGCCCGTAGACCAGTACAGTACAAGCTGTACACATTCATATTGAGCAGTGTTCTCACTGCACACTGCAATGTTCACCATGACTTTTAACAGATAAGCTGTACATGTAGAACAGATTATATTGTGCTAATGTGCACTACCAGCAGGTGGGGATATTTGTACAGAGTCGAATACATCATACCCAGTAGGTGTGAATATATCTGTACAGAGTGCAGAGTACTTACTGTAATTTGATTACATTTCGTAAGCGAATAGTACATGTACTTGAACTCGTAAACTGAAAAAAAAAACATTTCGTAGTCATCTAACTTTCATAAAGTGCCGTCGATCGCGGGTTACTTACTTCGAAGTACTTACTATGTACACACGCACATGCATACAGTACTTGACAGTGAGTGTGACAAATTTTAGCAATCATTGCAATTTTGCAAATGGCGGGCACCTTACGGAATTTAAGACATTATAACGGTTACCGAATGTAATTGATTTACAGCATGTAAGGGACCATCCGTTAATACTGATACTAGTATTTATTTTGGAATGAAACTAGTCATTTCTCTTCAACCCCCTGAGAAACTAACACATACGAATGGGATATAGTATCAATATCTTTTTTGTCTTTTTTCTAGACGTGCCCACTCATACAAACTGTGCATCGATATTTTTTCGAGAAACAAACAGGCGCTCAACCCCTCCCCCCCCCCCCCCTCTAAACGGCTAGTTGTCGCTATCCATATTTATGGAAGGCCCCTAATAGAACTCTGATGTTGAGACAATGTAATTATGGATAAAAAGGAAGGACCAAATGTTACAAGTTATGACCAACTGTCCATCAAAGTAACCAGATAATATAAAGTCAGCAAGTGCGACAACATGACATTGTATTGGAGCTAGGTGTCAGGTCGTTGAATGTCTCAGTACTCCCTGTGAGTTTAGTGCCTTGTTGTCTGGCACACTCGCTGACTGTATGCTATCTGGTTACTTAGGTGGACAGTTGGTCATCACTCGTAGCAGTATGAATTAGACCATTGCTTACCCAGTGTCTCTGCCCTTCTTGCGGCGCACCAGCACCACAATGACAATCAGGATGACAATGAGGGCGGCGGCTCCAACAGCAGCTCCGACGGCTACACCCGTAGAATTAGACGATGCTGCAAAGGCAAACGGCAGAGCAAAGCATAACACAAGACAGTACATTGTCAGGCAAAGCACAAGAGAGTATATTGACAAGCAAAGCACCAGGTTGGGTACATGGTATTGTATTTGTATTTATGGATTCTCCACAGGCCTTAGCCTAAATTGAGAGAGTCTCCAGTGTTAGTGCCTTGCTCACATCATCACGCTATATAGGAAATCCCCTTTGACAGGCGAATAGCATTTGGGGAACCCCCAACTAAATACAAATACAAATGCTATCGGCAGGTGTTGCTAATAGTTGCAGTGCTCACCCTCTACATATGCTCTGCTGTCTCAAAGTAATGGGCTATGGATCAATACTGCACCTGGGATATACCAATGATGGGCACAGGCTGCAATATTGGTTGATTGCTTTTTTCTATTTTCCTTCATTACATTTTTAAATGCCGATCATTCCAGACTACGCATACAAGTAGGCAGCGGGAATGTGGGGCCTACTTAAAGACACTCTCAGTCGTAGCACACGTAGTGCACTCACTGTTAGCCTCCGGCGTGCCGTATTTCTTCTCCTGTGCGTCGAGCATGTCGTAGAGTTGATGGGCGAGGTCGACGAGCTCAGGGTTGGACGCCTGCACTCGTTTGATGAAGTCCTCACGGGACAGCTTGAGCAGCTCGATTCCGCTTAGGTCACGGAAGAACTTGCCCAACGGAGCAAACTCTCCGCCGCTAGTAGTGGCAATCCATTGCTGGACGTCGTCCGAAGTCCAAGTTGTTGGACCTGTTTTCACAACACACGACAACACAATAACATGTACAAGTACGTGCATGTACAAATCAAATAGGGCCAAGCAAGAACATTGCCAGACAACAAAACAGTTTTTTTGTTCTGTAATTCTACTAAAAAACATAAACACACACACACACACGTTGGAATATATCTAGCATGACAATACACCATCAGCACGGTGGTACTTGGATAAACTGGTGGTCATGTTGGGATCATGGACATGGCTATTCTCTGTGTTAGCCATAGCTGTATCCATACATCCTCACCACACTCTCCAAGCGCTCTCTAGGCTACACCAATCACTGAAAAAAGAAAAAAAAGAAGAAAAATCATCTGAATTTTCAGGCAAGGCCCCTCTTCAGCTGTATCAGTGGTCCTGGTAAGATTATACTCTTTCAGCTAAACTGGCCTGGTCACGCCTGGCAGGGGTGGATAAAACGCATGGCGGCTTACTTCGCTCCTGCACAGGTGGAGGCGTTGTCGGTGGTGGCAGCGTCGGCGGCGGCTCGGTGGTCGGCGGGAATGTTGCTGCGTGACAGAGAAACATCATCGGCACAAACACAACACGGCCCGTTACAAGCATGCAGAGCACAGCAATCGCACAAAGACTGCTGCCCTGATGAGAACAATTCGTTGCAGAAAACTCAGAGTCGCCACGGAGTTCTCTCCTCTCCCCTTGCTGCACAATACCCATCACATACTGGAAGACCAGCAATGTGCAATCATTTGCCAGTTTTGAGACAGAATTCGTTAGAATTCCACCTCGCTAACCCACAAAAAATCCGGAGATCAGCTTTAATTGACGTTAAAATATCTGGTCTTACAGTAGATAAACCAGTGCCATGATCATTAGGTGTAGGTACCAGCACACAGACGACAGGCAGAGGGGGAAATGGGACTACAGAGGCACCCCTTCTGCCCCTTCAGTTTCGAACCACACTTTTAATACAGTCATACACTTGTTATCGCTCAAAGTAGGCAAGAGTAGCGCAAATGGAAATCCTGGGTATTACTTCGAAGCACTTGTACCAGCCAGTAGTACCAATGGAAGAAGAAAGACATGACTGCATGGATAGACTCTATGGGTGTGTTTGTGTGTATGCGCGCGCGCGCGCGTGTGTGTGTGTGTGTGTGTGTGTGTGTGTGTGTGCATGTGTATGTGCGCGCAAAGCACGTGTGCATGTGCATGTGTGCACTCACCCACTCCGGCGATGCCAAAGTCGATGGTGGAATCATCTCCGGCAGCCTCCAGGAGACTGCACCCGCCAGACGTCGCATACTGCGTCTCTAGATTAATCTTTGGCAGTCCCTTGTCGCGCACGATGACTCCACTGTTGAGCAGCGAGAGACGAGTCTTCTTGTACGTCCAACTGGTCGTGCTGGATACATCCAGTACACCGGTCGGCGTCACCCAGATCGACGGACCGTCGGTCGAGTTGATGTAGCTGCCGCCACTCATCTGCCAGCAGCTGACCCCGACGTCCACGCTGTTGCACAGGTCGTACGTGGTGTTGGGAGAAGTGTACTCGCACGCCGGTGTGGTCAGCGCTTGGAACGACGGCGCCGGATAGGGCGAGCCTTCGCCAGTCCAGTACGGCGATTGGCGGTAGTATGAATTCTGATTGGAGATCAGCGTCTTGGAGAGAATGCCAGGCAGCTCGTAGTTCACGTACAGCATGTTACCAATCGTGTCCCAGTAGGATGACTGCTGGATGACGTCAATACGCAGCTTGTTGTAGCCCTTAATGAACGAGATGTTGCTGACCGATGACGATGATGGGAATCTGGCAGTGCGAATCGTCGCGCTCGGCATGGAATCATTCACCCAGACGCGTACGTAACGAGTAGTGTAGTACGGCCCACTGAACGAGATCTTGTAGTTGGAGCTGGTCACCGGGATGTTGACGAAGAACGTGTATCTCACGGCAAAGTTATAGGTGAACGTAAACATGCTGTTAGAGTCATAGCCAGAGCCTGTAGCAGAGTAAGCCAGAGGAGAATGGCCACCATAGGTAGGCGCATAGCTGACGCTGGGCTCAATTCGGCTATACGTAGGCTCTGTTCTCGGGTCGTTGAAGCTTTCCGGTACAAGGTTGGAGCTTGTGGAGTCGTTATAAAATCCACCAATAGAGCTGAGACTGTCGGGACCAAGACGATACTGGAAGTATTCAGCAAGGACACCTCTGGACTGTGATGGACGCTCTACCTGTCCTTCCAGCACAATGCGCATGTTTGTTCCGCCAAGATTCAACGGCAGTGACGAGGACGCCGCCGTTTGCCGTTTTCCACGCGGATGTGGATTTGATGCTGTTGGCAAGCTGGAGCGCACACGCCGGCGGATGTAGATCCAGGAATCACTACCATTGATGGTGGCGGACGGGGCCCACAGTACATCGTGCGCAAAGTCGACAGTGCAAGATTTCAACCACATCCCTCCATTCAAGTACAGGTTGCTATCCACGTTGAGCTGCGTGTTCTCCAGATTCAGCATGCCACGCGTTGTGACGCTTAGGCCGCCGTTGAAGTTCAGCACAGCGCGGTTGAACTTCATTGTGACGCCTTGCTGCACGACAAAGTACGCACCGACCTGCATCTGCATAGCGTCGGGGAATATCAGAGTGGAGCCCGATTGAATGCGCATTGTTCCAACGTTCAGGATTTCAGGGAAGCGCACAAAATTTCCGCGGCTGGAGTAAATATTGAGAAGGCCTAAAGAGTCCATGTCTAACTTGGTATTGAACGTGACATTGCGGCTGGTCGAGTAGACGCGAACTTCAACACGACCTCTGGTCACAATAGATGAGAGGTTTGTGTTCCGTGGAAGACTGTTGATATACATGTAGCGGGTGGATCTTGTATCCCACATCAGCCCTGAACCTCTGAAGCGTTCGTCATAGCGTGTCACATTGTAGTAGGTGGCAAGACTCTGCGAATACCTTGTGCTGTCGCAATTGGTTGGGATGTTACCGAACGGCCAGTAAAGGCCTCCCCACATTTCAATGGTACCACGGGCATTGCTTGGCAGAACGATGGTTGAGTAGAAGCGAACGTACGCATTATGAAATCGCATCTTACTGACAGGGGACATGTTGGCGAAATAGCTGTAGATGTAGAAGTTCGACGATGATGTCACGCAACTCCTGCCTAGGTAAATTGAACCATAGTTGAGAATTCCATCGTATATGTATGATGAAGAGCTGGACGTAGCAAAGTACACTGTTCCATAGTTTATCAAACCCTGCTGGAAGTTATTGCTACGGGAGGAGCCAAAGTAGCGGACCGGCCAGTTCAACACTCCGCCGGCTAGGACAGTGATGTTTGTACCGCTTATGTACACACGATAGATGTTAGAATTCCAGACGGATGATCCACCCATTGTCAGTTGAATGTTCTGCAGGGTACGCGTGCTGTAGGATGTGGTGGTGGCCGTGAAGCCGTTGGTGGCGGTGACAATCACAGAGCTTCCCGAGTGCGGGTCACCAGTGATGCTAGAGCCGGCCCATTGGATGGTGCCGGCCGTCAGGTTACCATGAAGCAGTGCGTCCTTGGTGTTCAGGTACAGCGTGGCCGACACGGTCAGCGAAGAGAAGTACTCAATGGTGAAAGTGACATCGGCGTCGCTGGCACCGACGTCAAGCTGCTTGCATTCCTGACCACCCGTGCCATCAACGACGACCTTGTACTGGCCAGGCTCCGTGATGAACACGTAGTCATTGGCGGTCGGGACTCGCTTGGGCATCCAGTTGCTGGCCTCGGACCAGAGTCCACCGTTGGGGTTCACCCAGAAGAGAACGCCGGTAGAGCTAGATTGGCCAAAGAACTTGACTTGCGAGTGGACAGCTGCCTGGCCTATCTGTCTGTATTGTGCTAGGAACACTGCTACACCAACACCGCCCGTTTTGGAGATCAGACCAGCGTTGACCACCGTGCCTGGCTTGTTAGCGATGTCGTTCGAATACCACACGGCATCGGTCTGCACGTTGAGCAGTCCAGTTGTACTGACGTTGAGCACTGCACTGTTTGCCATGATCGTCAGACTGTCATCAGCCAGAGCACACACGGAGATGAGTGGCATCTGCCACTGACTAGACACCAGTGTGTTGGTGACCGGGTTCCGGTAGTAGAGCTTGGCAAGCGGCACGGGCTGGAACGGAACGCCGGGACCCTCGTAGTACACCTTGGAACCACCCGAGGCGGAGGACCTCACGATCTCGTCCACCCGGATCGTGACGTACCCGGCGGAGAGCTGAACAAACTGTGTCTGCTGCGCGGGGAAACCGGAGCTGGAGTAGCTAGTGGCTGTAAAGATGACATCACCGTTTACCCATATGCGAGGAATGCGATATTGAGCCAGCATGGTGAAGCGGTACATACCAGTGGTAGTGATAGATAGGTAGGCAAGCCGACGTGTGGCATAGTTGTAGGTGAACGTAAGATCGTTGTTGTAGTCAATGCCGCCCGTTGAAGAGAAGGCAACTGGGCCCTGGTACTCGGCTGACTGACGCACACCGAGTGATTTCTCCAGGTGAACCGTGTCTGCTTGTGTGCTAAGGTCATCAAACGACGCGGGAACACAATTATTGTCCTCAGTACAGCGGCTGCTATTAGCCTGCCAGTATTGGTACGCATTAGCAGCCACAAGCCCTGCGAAGGGGCCAAAGTCGTCCTCATCACCAGAACCCGGTTGGTACTTGAAGTACTCAGCGATCACCCCGTTCTTTGACGGCTGCGCAAGCTTCTTAATGCCCAGGTTAATTCCATCAAGAGTACGAGCACCGGTTCCCTTCACAGTACAGCCGCCCGAAAGTGTTAAGTAAGAGCTGCTGGATGACGAGCCAATCAATTTGCCTCCGCTCCAGGCAAACTCACCCCAGACGACACCACCGGCATTCATGAGCGTGACTGAGCCCGCGTTCAGGAAGCGGCGGTTGAAAGTGACCTGGACTCTTGAAAAGGTGACGGCAGTGCCCGACGGAATGAACACGTCACGGCGGAACGAAACCCTGCCAGTTGACGAGCTCGAGCTGAAAGTGACGGAAGCATTGCCCCTAAGGCTCAGGAAATCATACACTTGCAGATCAGTATTGCCAGAGTCCAGGTTGACCGACCAGTACCCACTGTTGTAGAAGTACCCCAAGCCTGTGACGCTGTTAGCACTGAATCTAGCAGTACCCCTCGATGTACCATAGAACTGCAAGCTTGTGAAATAGCCCAGGTCCAGCGAAGACGTCACCGTGAAATTGGAGTAGTACGAGTTTGAGAATTGGACTCGAGCATAACCGACGGCCTTGATGCTAGAAAGCATGACGGACGTGTAGTAGAACGACTGGAAGTAGAGCGAAGCCTGTCCACTGCGATCCCAGAATGTTGATGTCACTACATTACTGAGACCAGAGTAGATCAGATTGATGTATTGCTGAGGACTGAGGTTCGTCGGTTGAGAGCTGGAAATGGATGTGTTCCAAACCGGAGCACCGTACACTGCAAAGGAACCAGTGCCCAGCTGCAGCGAGCGTGAGCTCGAACTGGAGCCGTATACGTACATGGTGCTGCTATACAGCGTAATGGAGCCAAAGTTGGTGATGGTGCCGTACATGTAGACACGATATCTGTACGAGTAACTACCAACTCCCACGTTGTTGATTGCGCCGCGGTTGAGAATGTCCCAGTAGCAATACTGCGTGCGATAGCTGCGATGTAGCCAGTACACCGTGGCGCCCGCCATGTTTTGCAGGCCCAGTCTGAAGTTGTTGCTATCGAACGCAGGGTAAGCCCCGGTGACCCTCAGGCTGGCGCGCTCCAGGATGAGCGTTCCCGTGTTGACCAGCGAGCACGCCTGGCAGTAGACGGTCATGTCGCGCGAGCTGGAGCCGATGGTGAACACACCCTGGTTCTGGATTCGAATGTTCTGGAAGTACACACTGCTGGAGCCGGTAGAGAGCAGACTGAGAGATTTGCGCACAATCAGAGTGCTCTGCGTACCGCTGCCTGCAACGCTTCCAGATAGGTACCGTCCACCAAACGTAATACGGGCAGCGTCTACAGTTCCCTGAATGTTGAATGTGGATGCGATCAAATCAAGACGATCGTTCGCCACGAGCCTAGAACTGGAGGCAACGAAGAGCTGAGCCGAAACGCCAACGCCGCCCACGATCAAGTCTTCGACTTGGACCGTCAGCTTGGGAGTAATGACCACGGTGTACGCACCCGGCAGGTCAATGAAGACAATCGAAGACGCTGTTGGCACGCGGTTTGGTGACCAGTTGCCCGGATCCGTCCACAGTCCACCGGCCGAGTTGTTCCAGAAGACAGGAGAATTCAGGATGGTTGGTGTTTGGAAGTTGACCACGCCATCGAGCTGCTGCAGAACCCCGCCCGATTGCGGATTGCCCAGGAAGAACGTGGAGATTCCACCGCCGGTTTTGGTCAGCGTGCCCTGCAACACCATGTTGCTGGTAGTCTGGCCGGCCGACACAGTGCTCAGCCAGAACGTATCACCGGAGAAGAAGACCTGGCAGTTGGCCTGGATCATGACTCCTGCTCCTCCACGTGCAAGGATGGCCTCGGTGGCTACAACCGCACGCTGTGCCACTGCTCCACTGGCCTGGAGGGCAGGTGAAATTGGCGTTGGCGTTGGCGTTGACGAGTCATACACAAATAGTCGACTGTCGGGAATGAGCTGCTTTTCAAGGGTCGACGACGAGTAGGACACCAGAACGTTGGAACCGTACACGTTGTGAGTGGTAGTGCCCACGATCATGTCAACGCGGATCTTATGGTAGCCGGCTCCGAGGCGCGTGGCATTCGATGCATAGTCGTAGTTGATACTGGCGGACCTTGGCCCAGTGACAATGACTTTGTCGTCAATCCAGAGGCGGGCCGGGCCGTAGTTGTAACGCAGGTAGAATACGTAATCGTCAGCGGCCGTTATCTGGACGTAGGACAGCAAGCGTACGGCATACAGTCTGCTGAAGGACAGGTCAGATGTGTAGTCATAACCACCCGTGCTGGTGAACAAACCATACCAGTTAGAGAAGTAGGCGGCTGGCCTCTGAAGCGATGCTTCCACTCGTTGGAACACAGCTGGCGCGGCTGGAGAGTTGAATGATTCCGGCAAGTAGCCAGCGCCGAGATTTCCATCAGTGCTTGGGAAGTAGTAGAGTCGAGTTGGAACAGCGGTGTTGTTGTCCGCTGGCTTCAAGTAGTTGAAGTACTGAGCCACCACTCCATTCGCAGTCGTCGTTACTGCGGCATTGGCGGCGAAGACTACGTCGACGGTGTCGTGCGTTTTCAGATCAAAGCCAGTGATATTAACGTAGCCGGCCAACGCGATCTGACTGCGTGGCTTCGGTGATGCAGTAGTGCCTCGCAATATGCCACTAGACCAGCGGAATAGATCACTAACTGCCAGGTTGCTGCTGTCCTGTAGGGCAAGAGTGCCATACGTGTCCATGATGGCAACAGAGAGGCTGGCGGACCTCAGCGTCAGTGAGCATGCCTGCGCAATGAAGAGACGCTGCAGGGTGCCGCTCGTCGTGTTCAAGTTGGCCTGGCAGTTCTGCGTTCCCCTCAGGTAGATGAAGTTGCTAACGGTGGTAGCAGGCATGGTCAACAGCCATCCAGAGCTGATGTCCATTGAGCCAGTGGTGGCACTATTGGACAATTCCAGGGTGTTTGCACCATTGTTGTTGCTTCCAAGAGATACGTAACCCTGCCTATCCTGCGCAATAGTCATACTGAGTCGACTGGAGTAACAAGATGTGAATTGGACAGCGACCTGACCCTCCGACCATATCCTGTTGATGACCGCCACACTGTTACGGATGTTATAGAAACGGCAGTAGACGGTGACGGAAACATCCCACTGTGAAGTAGCGTTAGCGTACACAGCATCCAGGTATGTCTGGTAGAGGGCAATGTTGAGCAAGCGGGGCCGTGTGAACGGAACTCGCAGCATTGGCATGCCGCGCACGCGAATGTCAGAGGCGGCAAGGGCTTGATCCGGCGTGGGACCATACGACGCGTGTGCGAAGAAATTAAGTGATGCAAAATAGCTGTCGAAACGGCCCATGCGTACAGGTAGGGAGTACCAGTATACATATGTGTTGGACTGGTAGCGAGCATTGACAATGCTCATACGTCCGTAGTTGCCAATCGCCCAGTACATGTACGTGCTCGTGCGGGAAGAAGCTCCAAGAACCATGGTGAAGTTGCCGCGGTTCGTCAGATGTTTGGGCTGCCCGTCGTCGTACACAGCGGTGCTGAGAGTGTTGCCAGGGAAGGATGCACTGGAAACACGCCACTGCATACCGTTGGTAATGAGCGTAGCACCCACATCGTTGACAATATGACTGTTTCTGGTGTACAGGTAGCCGGTATCCATGCTGGAGTCAATAGTGAATGCTCCAAAGTTGAAAAGTTGGATCTGCTGCAAGTACTTGGAACTATACAAAGCCCTACGGATTGTCCCAGAACTGAGAACATTCAGTACACCATTGTTGTTGCCATAGAGATAATACCCAGACCATTCCAGGCGGCCAACCGTCATTACACCATACACGTATGTCCGGTAGCTGTTCAGACGAGCCGTGCCACTTACGGTCAGGCTTGCACCGCGCGACACGGACAGATACGCATAGGAAGTCTGGCTAGTGCTGCCCACAGTCAGGCTGCGAATCGTGACGTCCGCCGAGATGGTCACCGTGAACGTGGACGACATTCTAGGGATGATGACATCATCGTTACCCATGGGCACCCTGCAGCATACACACAAACAGCACACACAATGTGACATATACATGGTTAATGATGGAACAAGACCACACACTCTGTTTAAAACAAACTTTCCAAGGCAGTCTTCCTGCCCAGTCCCCCGCTAGTGACACTGTGGTAGCATCAACAGCACTTGGTTTAAGTCAAGGCCAGGATGTGGAGACCGTCAATGCAGAAGGCTACATGGTTAGTCAGCACTTGGTTTCAAGGCCAGAATGTGGAGACAATGCAGCAGACTACATGGCTAGGGTCTCCACCCGTCAAATACTCGGGCCGTTTCATACTCTCTGCTCGTATGTTCGCTCTTCATTCTCACCTCTCTTGGATTCAACCACGACACAGTTCTTAGTTCTTCACGCTCTTCTCTTCTTTGTTCTTGACTGCGACAGTTCTTACATTGTATTTCTATTTCTACACTTCTGGTTTCCTACTTGTTCTCTGTAAGACCGAGTTTAGTTTTTTTTGTGCTCACGGCCAAATACATGTGTACCCTACAGGCAGTAGTGCTCTTTTCGACAGAACACATGCACTTTAAAACAGACACTATTGGTATGTGTACGTACTTCGTACTGGATTTCTGACCACAGACGTTGAGTTGTACACATTACATGAACCCAAAACGTTGAGTTGTACACATTACATGAACCCAAAATCATACAAAAGTCCACCAAAGGTAGCTTCACGAGATGACTGTCCTGTTGCGACTAGTGAATCGCAATAGACTGAAGAACTTGCTTTCAAAGTAGCACATAGCTACAATCTTTACCATAAACACAGCTGATCTTGGCCAGTACTTCTAGGCAGTGTGGTAATACTGGTAGTCCAAAACACTGTGGAGAAATCACATTTTGGCAGTGAAACATTGGCAATGATTACATTGCGCCCAGCCATACGAAACTTCTCGGCATTCTGCTGAAAAAAAACCTCACCGAACATTCCAGTTAGACGCATCGTTCCAAGAGCCTGATCTAGTTCCATTCCAGGTCACCGTCTTGCCTGGAGATATGATAAACATACACACAGGCATACACACAGAGACATGAGGAGTACACATAGGCAAACAACTGCTGTAAGCGATTTTGTGTTTTCGATGCACTGCGTTTGCTTTTCTTCCCGCAGCGTAGACTCCAGAGTGTCCAGGGTATGTGCATTTGCCTCTATCATATTTCAGACAAGCACACAAACACTGACATATGCTCTCCGATAAAGAACCGATACACCATATCTTCTCGTTTCTATTTTGTATTGTCAGCATATGCAAAATTTCAACTACTAGCAGTTTTTCAAATTCGAATACATGTTCTGGACGAGAAAGCAAAATGCACATGCCTATGATAGAGAGAACCGACTAACCAGAATGTTACTCATCCAACACGCATGTGTCCAATGGGGCCGGGTCATTGGGTGCATGCACGCCCTCTCCGCCATAGCATATAGTGTGAAGTGCCACCCCAAGCTGAACATGAATATTCATTGTAGGATGTCCAGGTGTCGCCAATCATAATGCTGACTTGTATGTTAATTCCAATTTTAGAACAGGACTTACCTGGTGGATAAGTTGGAGGCACTGTTGTCCCAACTGACGGGACTGAACCAGACACACACACAAACACAAACAAACACAAACACACACACACACACACACACACACACACAAACATGGACAAACACACACAGACCTTAGTTAGATTCCCACCGCCGAAGAGGTACAGGCAGCAGTGTTATGAGTAGAAACTATAGCAACCTGTGTTGGGATTTCACCAGGCAGCGGCAGCAGTAGCATACACAGTCAGTCTCAGCAACGGCAAGACACAGCAATCTCTTGACAGAGTTGTTTTTTCTCTTTTTTTCTCTCTCTTTAATTTGCATTTTTGCCCTCGGTCCGTGGTTGGTTTCACCCTCACTTCCTTGTATTGGCCATTTTCATAATGTGCCATGGAGTGCAGACAGTAAATAAATAGAAAGCGTTCCCGTACAATGACTAAAAACTAGCAAGTTGCAGTGGTACACAGAACACTCAGACTGCTTGAGTACTTATTATAATCATCATCATCATCATCATCATCATCATCATCATCATCATAGTCCATCATGACATGTTTCTCCGTTTGCAAAAGCTTTGGGGGATTTCAGCAATGTGCATAGACACTCTGTGTCGGTGTACATGCGCATGCACGGGTGTGTTTATGCGTGCGTGCGCGCGCGCGTGTGTGTGTGTGTGTGTGTGTGTATGCGTGTGTGCGTGTATGAGTGTGTATGTGCGTGCACACCACGAGTACATACCTGGAACAGTGCCTGTGCCGCTAACCGTAGGCGCAGTTGCCCCTGTGAAGCAAAACACACAAGACAGGCATCGCAGGTACAAGCTGATACGATCATAACACTAGATCCACACGCATGGATCGACAAGTACACAAGGTCACAATGACGGGAGACGTTGTTTTGGTTTAACTCGCGGAAATCGGGCCACAGTTGTCTGATGACTGGCCCAATTGCCACGAAGCTCAGAGTGATAACAAAACAAAGTTGCCCACCATTGTGAACTTGTGTTGCAGGTTCCTGTTCGTGGGTTGAGCACTTTCGCAAGTCAACGGAAACTCCGCTTTGTGAATTAACAAGTACAAATGTCCTATGTGTATGTGGTGCGGGACAAAAGTGCCTTTTCCACAAACGAATGCACCTTAAAGACGAATGCACCTTTAAATCATGTTCGCTACAAAAGCAGCTCTTAGTTAGGGCTATTCTCATGAAATGTGTTCGTCAAAACATCACACACAACACACACACACACATGTACACACATGCACACACACGCCCCCTCCCCCACACACACCACAACAGCTTACCGGCATCATTGACGCCAAGCTCCAGGCTGCCCGAGGTGGCCGACTGGCAGCCGGAGTCACTGATGTTGTAGAGTGTGTTGAGATTGAGTAGGCCTGAGCCGGCTGTGCGAATCACCTGTCCGCCCACATAGAGTGAGATGCGCGATGGGGTACTGCTCAGAGGCCATGAGGTGCTAGACTGCAACTCAAGAGTACCGCGTTGACCAACGGTGATACGACCGTTCCTGGTTGTAGACAAGCTGCCAGTGACGCGGAAACGGCTGTAAGAGAACGGCCGCTGCAAAGCCTGGCTGACCGTCAGGTTGGACTCGCACACATCATAAACTGGTTCTTGGTAGTTGAGCGACGCAGCGGCAGCCTGGAAGCTTGATGCATTCCGGATGAACGGATAGAGGGCAGAGACTGGCAGGTCCTGTTTGCTAAGAGAGCTGTCGGACCACTGAACAGACAGCATGGCACCATTCGTTGACAGATAGCTTCTGCTGGCAAGCAACAGATCAATACGAAGCAAGTGGAAGCCAGCTGTCAGCATCACTGCACTGGATGTCTCACCGGCTGCTGAGGGGATAATCAGCGACGTTTTACTCGTGAATCTGACCACCCCATCGATCCACATACGTGCACGCGTAGCATAGCCACTCTGGAAGTAGAATGTGTAGCTATCCGTCGCTGGTACCTTCAAATAGGATGTCAATCTTGTAGCATAGTCGTAAGAGAATGAAAGACTTGTGCTGGTTTGGAAGCTACTTCCGCCAGGGCTGATATACTTGGGTGCTATGCCGTAGTAGGTGGCGGGTCTCTGGACATAGTTCTCTAGACGATAGAAGTTTGGCGTAGATGTTGGGTTGTCAAAGCTTGAGCTTAGCCTGGAGCTGGTGCTCTCGTCATAGAAATAGCGCTGCGTGCCGACACCGCGGAAATATTCGGCAATGAAGCCACGCTGTGTGCCGTCTACGGTCATGCCATCGATCACTAGGTTGACGCCCTGCAACTGGCGACTGCTTGAGGTCAGCGACGAATCCCGCGTCACGACCAGTGTTCCACCGATGCCAGTAATGGTGGAAGAGCCCCATTGCATTATGTTCAGCATGGTCACTCTGCTACCCAGAAGGTTGAAGGTGCCGCTGTACATACGGAGCTGATCGTAAAAGCGAGCTGGTCCGTTTGCAATAGTCAAAGTGGATGAGGACTGGCTCACAACATACTGCTGAAATTCGGCCATATTGTTAGGCTCCACTCTCAACTGACCATAGTAATTCAGTGACACGCCGGAGTTGAAGATAGTGTCACCCTCGGCGATCAGACCACTGTAGTAGTAAGAGTAGACGAATGCCACGCGATGGGGCTTGTACGACGACTGCAGAACAATGTTTGTGCGGTAGGACGAACTCCTAACACGGTACAGATAGAGTTGGCCGCTCGGATCCATGTCCAGCCGTTGCATAGAGACATTGTAGGAGCCATACGAGTAGTAATTGTAAATCTGCACATTTCCCTTTGTGGTCACCTCGCCAAAGTACATGCTGGTGCGCAGGTTCTGGAAGCGTAGATAGCAGTAGCGGGAGCCGTCGTACAGGCCGCTCTGGTACACGTCCTCCAGCCACTCCCGCCACATGGTGAGCATGCGATTGCCTCGGATGGAGCCAGTGTTGTACACAACCGGCCGGGAGTACATGTTCCAGAAGCTGTTGGCTGTGTTGTACAGGACGCCGTTCTGCGTGACGGTGGAGCGCGGCGATTTGAAGCCGCTGTAGATGTAGAAGTTGGTCAGGTAGATGTCCACTGTGCCGTAGTTGACCCATACACTGTACGCGTAGATGCGTGGCTGCGTCAAGTAATACCACGGCATGGTCACCACTCGTCCATAGTTCTTCACATCCCAGTAGATATACACGTAGGAGTTGGGCGGGCGCATCACCAACGTACCGTAGTTCTCAAATCCAGCGCGGAAGCCGGTCGCGTCGGCGGTGGACGCACCAGTGAGGTAGAAGTATCGCGTGGTGAGGAAGGCAGTAGCACCGGCCATGTTTCTCACTACGCAACTGGAGCAGTAGAGCCGTCCGTTGTACATTGCACTGTCCTGCGTGAACGTGCCGTAGTTCATGATCGTCACGGTCGTCAGGTACTTGGTCGTCACCAGAGAACCAGTGACTAGCATGGTCTTGCGGACGATCAGCTGACCAGAATTGCTGAGAGCAGTGCTACCCTGGATAGTCTTGCCACTCCACACGACGGAGCCCGCGTCAATCGAGCCGTAGATGGTCACAGAGTCGCCGCGCATCTCCAGCCGATCAGTGACGGTCAGGGTAGTGAAGTGCGAGACCAGCAGAGACACGCTGCTGCTGGAGTCGCCCACCAGCAGAGACGTGACGTTGACATTGTATGCGGCTGGAATGGTTACGACGTACGATCCCGGCACAGTGATCAGCACGACGTCGTCAGGTCTGGGCAGACGTTGCGGTACCCAGTTAGACGCGTTATCCCAGGAGCCGCTCGTCTGAGACACCCACGTGATACGTCCCGTGGTGGATTGCGGATGTACAAACGTGATCGATGAAACCCGCTGGTCCAGAACGCCGACGGATTTGTTGTCGTACGTCGTGTAGAGCTGAGCCGGGCCAAAGCCACCACTTCGCCGCAGTGTGCCATAGTTCACTAGGCTACACGGCACAGTTGAGTAGCACAGGAAAGACACGTCCGACTGAATGTCCAGCAATGCCTGCTGACTCACAGTTAGCGCTGCAGTGTTCCAGGCAAAGATCTCACCACCGGATATGCTGGCGGCAAAGTTGTTCTTGGCGAGCGAGGCATTGAACGCGGGCTGAGCATACTGCAGTACTCTTGAGCCAACCGGTGGAGCATTGACAAACAGTAGGTTCTTAGGCAGCCGACCATCAGGCAATCCAGGACCAGACATGTACACAAGCAGGCCGTTGCGTGTGCTGTAGGATGAGGATCGCTGGAGGACGTCGAGGCGCAGGCGATGGAAGCCTTGAGTCAGCGCCATTGACGTTCTGGGACGGGACAACGTGTTGGAGTAGATAGCGGAGTAGAAACCAGCCGTCATCACCACCTTGTCGTCAAGCCACAGCCGCGCACTAATGCCATAGTCGGAGTAGAAAGTGAAGTTGTACGTGCCGGCCTGTGCAACGTTCAGCCAAGTCCAGTAGCGCACGGCAAAGTTGTACTGGAACGTATACGGAGAACTAGTGTTCACATTGCCGTTTGTCTGGTAGTCCATAGGAGCCCAGCTGGGAGAGCGCTGATCGTGACTGATGTCATCCTCAAATCTCCACATAATGGGCCGGGTGGCGGCATCATCAAACCCGGTGAACGGCGGGAAACTACTCGGTGTTCCGGTCGGTGTTGGATTGAGGCTGTTTCGGATGCGCATCTGGAAGTACTCGACGAACACACCCTTCTGCTGCGCTTGTGGTGCAGTGAGCTGTGTTGGCTGCTGGATGCTTGCTGTCAATCCGTTGAACGTCTTGTCACTGTTTCCAGCTATGCTCCAGCGACCGGTTGTGGACAGTTTCTGTGCAGCCAGAGAGCCACCGAGAAGACGCCAGAAGCCGGACACCGATGCAACTGCAGCGCCAAAGTCCACGGACCCGTACGTGGTCACCGTATCCGCGATGGAGAGCACCCCAGAGCTTCCAGTTGTAGTCAGTTTTCCACCCGTGGAGACGGCCAAGCTACTCAGCTGCACGTTGTCATCACTCAGCGCTAGCGTACCATTGTTGCGAAGAATGACGTTGTACGTGCTTACAAACTTGACCGGGCCTGGAAGATCACAATAGCACCGCTGACCGACATTCAAAGAACCGACAGTCGTTGATGGAGCAAGGGACACCTGCACCCATCCACTGCCCAGGTCTTGTACATTGAGTGAGGACCAGGGAGACATGTTGATGGACTTGGTGAACATGATCCGGCTATAGTACATCTGGCTAATGTAGAGAATAACTCGACCCTCAGCAGTGGTCTCGCCTACCGTGACGTCGTTTAAAGTGCTGCTGCTACCCCCCAAGCTGTAGAAGTAGAAGGAAGTGGAGCGCGAGATGTCGTACGGAACACTGGTATTCTGATATACTGTCTGTATGAGCTGGGCACTGGCACCGCGCGTGTTGAATCCCAACGTGCCCGGCCGACTGCCGTACCATAGCTTGACGCCGTAGAGCTGGATCTTGTCGAACTGCAGCTTGTACGGATTTCTGTCGTAGCGAATGTTCACATTGGCCATGTACGTCTGCATTGTACCGCCGACCATGTAGGGATAGTAAATGTAGAATGTGTATGTCCGACCCCAGTAGACTGTGATAGCACGCATTGTGCCACCGGTTCCGTAGACGCGCATGTAGTACCAGTAGGCGTTCCTGTCGTACATCTCCACCGTGACCAGTCCGCTGTTCACCAGACCGCTCTGCGCGCATGGATCCGTGGCCGATCCACCGGGCGCAGTGGTCAGCGACGCTGCCGTACACGATCCTGTCTGCCAGTAGAAGTACATGGCATTAGTGAGGATCTGGCCGGACGGCGTGTTGTTGATCTTGCAGCCGGCGCAGTACAGCCGTCCCCTGGCCATTGTCACGTCCACGCTGAACAGTCCCATGTTCTGGAAGACAATATCCCGGAAGTACTTTGTAGTGAAGCCGCTTGCCAGCATGGCAAAGTTGTTCCTGGACGTGAACACACAGCCCTTGCCGGTGCCGGTGATGTACTGTCCTGTCCACACAACATTGGCCGCGTCGAGCTCTCCATTCAGCGAGAGCGTTGGCGAGTGAAGCTCCAGCCGATCGGAGATGGTCAGCTTGGCGAAGTGACTAACAACAAGGTTAGGGGTGCTGGTACCTCCGTCACCAACGAAGACACTCTCAGCCTGCGCAGTGCCGGTGATGATCACCTTGAAGTCACCTTGAAGATTAATCAGAACAATATCACTAGCCGTTGGTATCCTGCTGGGCGACCAGTTGTTCACATCCTGCCAGCTACCACCGGCAGCGTTGGTCCAGCTGATGACGCCCTTGGCACCGGTCGGGAATTCGATTTTACCCTCGTTGTACTCCTGCCGCCCGGAGCCAGAATAGGCCAAGTAGAAAGTGGCAACACCAGCACTGCCTTCCTTGCGCAGCACACCGGCATTGGTCAGGGTAGTGCGGCTACCACTTGCGGAGACTTCACCCAGAATGGACAGATCCGTCAGAACGTTCAGGATGCCAGTGGAGCCGATCGAGAGCGACGACCCTCGAGTCATAAAGATGGTGCCCTCGTTGTCGACGTCCATCTGGCTGGTCGATGATGAGATGTTAGCCGATGCATCCGGGTTGGCAAATTCCGTCTTGCCGCCAACGGTGCGCTTCCAGGAGACCTTGGTCATTGGAATGTACTGCTTGGCCACATTGGGTCCAGCGTACATGATGAGCAGAGACTTTCCGTACGTGCTCCAGTAGCTACTTGTTCGCACAAAGTAGTCGAGGCGCACACGCACAGTGCCGGCCGCCAGTGTTGCGTTGATTGGCTTGTTGGAGTTGGGAGAGAACGAGCTGGATCTGGCATAGGGGAAGGTGGGTGACCTCACCATGCCGTCAATCCAGATCCTGGCCTGAATGCTGTAGCCATTGTTCACATAGAACGAGTAGAGACCGGCAGTGTCGACTTGCAAGAAGAACCAGATACGTGTTGCGTACGTGTAGGTGAAGCTCAGCGGACTGCCAGAGTCATAGCTTGTATACGCGGTTGATCGCCAATCCAGAGGAGAGTTGCCGTAAAGCCTAGGGGGCCGTTGGACGTTATCCTCTAGACGTGCGACGTCGGGGATTGCTGTGCTGTTGTCAAAGTAACTTGGTAGAGTGGAGCTGGAGGTGGATTGTCCCGGCCAGTACTGGATGGAGGACAGGCGCTGAGTGCGATTCGTCGCCACGCGATACTGAAAATACTCGGCTATTACCTTGCCGCTTGCTGCGATGGGCTGGCGGCTGATGTCAAGCTGGACACCGGCCATGTTCAGAGTGGTGGCGCTGTGCTTGACGTACGCCGGACCACTGGTTGTTAGTCGGCCAGTGCCGGTACCAGACAAACTCCCACCGCCCCAGATGAACGTTCCCTGGGTTGTTACAGCCGAGTTGCTAGCATTCAGTGTCGAAGATGAAAACAGCGTGTTGTAGAAAGTCGCCGGGCCATTCAGCAAAGCCAGCTGGCCACCGTTGTTGATGTAGACCTTGCCGTAGAACTCCATTCGAGTAGTGGAGGCAAGCTGGAAGATGGAACCCTGATACACTGTAACACGATCGGTGACTTTGACCATGCTGGATGAGGACAGGCGCAGCTGACATCCGCCAGATACCTGCAGCTTGCCAATAGACGGTGATGAGCCTCCAACGGTCAGGACTGTCGTTGAGATAGTCGTATCACTCCTGCCACCGTACGCCACAAACTCTGTGTCCGGGGAGAGAGACACGCCATTAGCAATAGAACCGGATACCGGTGTTGATGTGCTGTAGTCACCCCGCCAGTAGATATACACTCGGCCGTACGTATTGAGCTTGCCCAAGTCAAACGTTCTCCCCGTGGTCACGCGGAAGCTGATGTAGGTCTGTCTGCCCACATCCCAGAAGTAGCTGCCGGGGTTGGTCACGAACGCCATGTCACCGTACACGTCCTTCAGGAAAGCTTGCCACTGCGCGTTCTGCCCGCTGTACGACGGAGTCTGCGGGTAAGACCCCCACACGGCCGGAGAGGAGAAAACGTTCACCGTGCCCGTAGCGCCGCGGAACGAGTTGGAGCTGAAGTAGGCGCTGCACATGTAGAAGTTGACTGTTCCTGAGTTGATCCAGTCATACTGAGAGCTCTGTGCGTAGAACCGGTACGTGCTACGCCAACGCATGGTGCCCACATGGACAGTTCCGTAATTCTTCATACTCCAGTAGTAATAGAGGTATGAGTAGCGCGTCATCGGAAACGCTATCGTTCCGTAGTTGATAAATCCCAACCTCCACCCATCCGAATCCACGCCTGGAGTTGTTCCGGTGGTATAAAATCGCACTTCGCACGTCGTGAATGTTCCACGATTGATAAACATGCATCCTTGACAGTAGTGGATGTTACCGGCCATTTCACTGTTGAAGAGACTGTTTCCTAGCGTCTCGATGCGAATGTAGCGGTAGTACTTGGTAGAGTAAGAGCCACGACGCACGGTCAGGTTGCCCGTGACTTGAACGAGTCCCCTGACCGGGTACTGGGTGTTGCTCTGCGACTGCGGGCCGTAGATCTGAGAGCCACGGTACTCCAGGTTGTTGACGCGGAGCACGCCGAGCACCCACAGTGTGTTGGCGTAGTAGTTCATGTTGCCAGTGACGGTCATGCCCACCCCGGCCATGATGTACAGCTGACACACACGGCTACTGGTGCTCGTCATCGTCAGGTTACCGACGGTGATATTCCGCGTCACTTGCAGCTGACAGTTGGAGACGGCGTTTGTGTTGCTTACCGTCACATCGTCATTGGCACCTGGGATGCTGCAAGAACAATGAGGAACAGTGGAGAATACAATGCAGTCAGAGGTTGATTACAATGCACAAACACATACACACAGGTATGTGCGCATGTGTGCACGCACACACACACCACACACACACAAACACACACACACAAACACACACACGCACACACACACACACGAGCACGCGCACACACATACACACACACACACACACACACATACACACACACACACATACATACACACAACTTGAATTGGTCATGGTTGAAAGGGGAAAGGGAGCTAGGGGACAACTGCAGCTAATACATGCACTCCGTGATAGGGACTTCGACAAGGCAACGACTCAGTGCTCGTACAGTGAGCCACATGTACTAAGCAATCTGTTTGGCAACCGATATCCTTCACTTACCCCTGCGGTGACCAGTTCTGCGGGTCGGACCACTGCAGGTGCTGCTGAGATGAGGTGGCGCTGCCAAGCAGGGTATACGTTGCGCCATCGATGTGCCCGAGTTGTGTTGAAGCAACAAGGAGAAATAGAGCTACGGCAGCGTGCCACCCTGGACAAACAGAAATCGAAAATCAGGCCAGTGTGTCAGCGGGGATGATTCACACGGGCATTAAGAAAATCTAGAGACTTATGCGGAAAGCCTGCGCAGGTCTTTCGTTTCCTAAGTTCCCTCAAAGTTTTACTGTTGAAGTGCCATGCAGTCATGTACCATACATGTCCTGTCAAGAGTACATCAACCAAAGTGGGCAATTCCACGTCCATGTTGGTTATAAGCAGGCCAACTGTGAAGTTTGTTACCAGGGTCATGAATTAACGCCGGATATCTCATCGCACATCGTACGAGTCAAGTTGGCAGGAAGTGCATGAGCTCCCACATCGCCAGCCGGGACCAACATACACATGTGCAATGTGTCCAGCTCTATTATCGCCGAAGTCGCTACCTCTATTTCATATTATCTCATTGACGGCACCGTTATGAAGTAACACGTGCAGCAGCAAACTACTGTATCATTGAGGTGATAACGGACATTGCAGTGCGTGCAACTTTCACCTTTTGAATTGCACAACCAGCCAGCGATGATGAGCAATAGATATTACCACCTGGGTTGTGATACAGGTAACCGATCGACAAGTGCTGCATGCATTTTTTTGTAGTGCGAGATTGGCATGAAGCAGCATGCATAGGGCAGTGCAACTGTTGAATTCTCTTTTCATATTTTTGCATTTCAACTTTTGCAAGCCATTACCAACTTACTGGCTATACATGATGTACATGTCCTGCCTGTTCGTAATTTCACGTAACGCTCGTTTTCTCCATCCACCAGCTGCAGCTCGTGCAGTACGATTTGCTCAGCAGAATGTATTCCGGTAGGAGCTTCCTCATCCTTTCCTACCCGCTACAATGGTACTATTAGGTCTGAACACAATACTGCAAAATTAGTAGTCGCTGAAAATGTTTGAAACTCGCTAGCGGTGGCAGTGTGCAAGTGGTGTGCTGGTGTAGGTGGTTTTTGAAAATAGAAAAAAAGCAGGACTGATCTGTCCACGCGACGAGCTTGTACATAATTATGTGCACAGCATAAGTACAGGTGTGTGAACTGGCCAGATAGGAATAGATAACCAGAGATCACGGGGTCACTCAGTCAAAGCGTTCACGTGCCGTAGTCATGTACATCTGGTAGATCTACATCATTACATGGGGTGTGAGTCTGTGACCGTGTGAGCCCGCCTCTCCATAGGCGCCTAGACCATGATAGACCTACCGGTGGAACTACAGTACAGACTGGCAACTGAAATGACCCCTTACGGGCCTTAGCGAATAGCGGTTGTTTCTGTTTCGTAGTTTTACCATCCCGTGTTGGGTCTTTGCGATGTGAGCGCAACGCTCAGGAGTCAGGGGTCGGATTTCAGTTTCCAGCACTGTACTTCAACATGACATGTATGTATAAAATGTACATGACATAATAATTATGCAATCGATCTTTTTTTTGCAGTACTGTATAGCCTATACATGTAGGTATTATGTTGTTGTTGTTGTTTGGCTTTATTTAAAGTGGAGTTCCAAAAACAGGCCTAAACCTAATGACAATGGTCCCACTGATAATAAGAGAAAAGAAAAATATATAATAATAAGCGGACATTTTATATTATTATGATTCATGCACTCACAGTGCAGTCTGTTGAAGAGACTGTCGTCGGAAGTCATGATGCTTATGGTTTACATTCGTTCTGGTGCGAGTCCGGGCTCGGCATTCTTGGCACCCATGCCTATTCTGTAGGCTATAGCTTGATCACACAATTGCACGTATAGGCTTTCGGCGTCACTTAGCAATGCGCCTCTCTATTTTGTTTCATGATTGCACTGCTACATACATACATGTAACGAGTTTCTTTGCTGGAGCTATGGGAAATCTCATCAAACTACAAACATGAATTGTTTAAAAAAAATTCAGTTTACAATTGACTGATGCTCCACGCACGTCATGACATTGTATACTCTTCCACGCGCATTTACGTCATTGTAATATTGGTTGAAGGCTGGCCATAAAGGTAGGAGAAATACATGTAAGTTCAACACTTTGGTTTGCGATCATTACCGTGCAGGATGGGTGATGTACTTCGAAGTAGAAAGGCAATGTGTCGGTACAAGTAACTATCCACTACTTTCCTTTCTACATTCATTATTGGCTCAACACCCAAGGATGGATGATGTTTGACGTTTTCAAGATGTGGTTGGACCCAGTGTTTTCTCATTTGGATAAGGAAGAGAGGAAGAGATACGTGGTTGCTTGGATAAACACGCTGCTGAGATATAACCGCTGGTGGGTATGCCAGAGACAGACTGACACAATGCATCATGATTGTCATGGTATTAGCAAGACACACAGATTATACAGACACTCTTGCTGCGATAGTGCAACCACAACCACACAACCGTTGCAGAGCTGCTGGCAACCATTGGAACACACTCTGGGCAATTGCTGCGATAGTGCACCCCCAACCACACAACCGCTGCAGAGCTGCTGGCAACCATTGGAACACACACTCTGGGCAAAACGGAACAAGTAAGTTATCCCGAGTCAGTTCACGCCAAACTGGGGCGATTGCACTGTGCTCGTCGAGAACGTCCCATGATGTGGTTGCTTCACCATTCAGCAATGACAAGTAACTGAGGAGTCTGGACCCTCTTCCGTGGACACCTAAGGTCCACACCCACCCAAGTCTGATTCCTAGTTGGACGTCGCTCTCTAGTCTTGACTTGAGGCAGTTTGCTCACCAGGAACGTACCCTTTTGAAATTGGGGTATCCTCCCCGTGTGCACATTACGCGCACTATCAAGGTTATAGTTGGCACTGTCCTATCATTAATTTTATATCCTCCATAGCTACGGTAATCCGGGTAATGAGAGCCAAATGAAACCCAACGCTTTCCAGTGCAGTCCCCGACTCCCTTTCGCACTATCAGTCCCATAGTGAATTTCACCATGAACTCGCTGCATACCTTGGGCACCCTGTATAGTAAGAGGGCCTTACAACTTTAGGGTCTCAGACCAAGTGAAGACAATGGTCTAGTACAAGTTTAATGTGCGAACTTTACTTTACTTTTGCCAGTTCAATGCGATACCAACGCGCACACGCATCTGGTATAATCAGGCACTCAGGTGGCCTGGCACGAGCGAAACTTCTCTACAAGCTGGTTGGGGGGGGGGGGGGGGGGGTAACACAATTGTAAGCCATTGTAACGGGGGTGTGCTGACTTTCTTTTTTAACTTACACTCATCTACCGGAGGGTGTACCTAACACGCATCTATAAAATCAAGCGCGGGTTTTTATCCAACATGACATGGAAAGAAGGAAGAACACCAAAGATACAAGAGACGAAACTCGGCGATGAAATGAAAATGAAAATTAGAAATAGTCTAATCCAAAGAAATCTATAAAGTTCTACGTGTAGTACGAAACGGAACAGTCGAAGTATGAAAATATCGGATGGAGTAGGGGAGGAAGAGAAGGTAAGCAAGGCGCACAACACTGTAAACTTACGGTCTCGCCAAGGCGCCTCCATGATGGCGCGCACCTAGGTACGGTGTGTCGCCGGTGTGGTTGAATGAGATGGACAACAGCCAGCACAGGCGCACCGCTAACACTGCAGACACCTGACCACTAGCACTGTATGCACGAGGATGCAGGATCTACGACACAACGAGGTCAAGCCGCCGCCCATGCAACACAGCAACCTGATCGGGGCAATGCGGTGAGAGAACGAGGCAGAAGGCGCATTCACCTTCTTTTCCGAGGCTCACTTTGCAGCACCACTGAGCCATGGGTGGGAAGGAGACCGGAATGGTACAAGAAATAGTGCTGAGTCTTGATAGAGCCCAAATTTAGTGCCGGGCTCCCTCTCGGGTACAGTCACCGACGTCGCAGGTAGACTGGAACTTGCTGATGGTCGTAACAGTCTTGTGATGAGGGCTTGTGACCATATGAAGCTTTGTATGTGCAGACAGCCAGGTCTGCGTGGCTATGGCCTTGTCATTCAGCTTGTCACCCCGCCTCCTTCCATCGCATGGTATCTACGTCACGAGGCACGCGACGAATGATCGCGACTTTGCTTCTAGTTCTCATGTATTGGCTTGGGCAGGGTCTAGGGGCAGTGTCGACACTGGGCGATAGTCTCCGTGGTCCCTGCACCCTGACATGGCCAGGGCAGGCAGTTTGAATGTTAGAGTACATGACTAGTATTACTATTAGGGTTGTGTAGATACTACTTCGAAGTAGATGCCTAACCTTGACTTGGCCTGGTAGTCTGGTAGCGTGGGACAGGCGTGGTAGCTCTACCCAAGCCTAGCTGCCTTGCAGGATAGGCTACTAGGCTGTCCCTGCGGCAATTTGCGGAAAAAGTCCTCGAAAACTTGCGCAAGAAATTGCGGCAGAAAACAACAAAAAATGCGGCGAAAAGTGCGGAAAGATGCGGAACTTGCCAGGAACTCGCGGAATTATTGGCATGAAATTGCGGATTTGGGCCAAATCACGAAATTTGTTGCATACATTAGAATCGCTATTTGCGTACTGTGCAAATAACCTACGTACAGGATCATGAAAAGCACTTATAGTTATACTGCGTGAAATGTGAAGAAAAATGTAAAAAGAAGTGCAGAAAACAACAAAAAACGCGGGAAATCGCGGACTTTTCAGAAATTCACGGGTTTTGGCCAAAATCGCGAAATTTGTTGCATCCGTGGAATCGCGATTTCCTGGAGGGACAGACTAGGGCAGTGTCGGCACCTTGCCTTCAACGTCACGTGTTCCCATCAACATCAAACCACGAAAAGCGTTTCCAGAGAGACAATGCACCGTAATGAAATCCGGATTTGTGAGCACGAGTCTTCTAAGAAGTTGTCCTTAAAACAATTATCTCGTTGAGAGGAGTCTAGTAGGTGTGTTGACTTCTGTCTTTCGAAATCCAGCATCCGCAGTAGATCTACAGGTAGGGTTTCTCGTGCACCTGCCAGGTTGTCACGAAGTAGCCTGAGGCATCTGTGCACGCGCACGCTGTCATAGAGAGAGTCATTCTTTGCCACATGCTGATTGACATAATTATTTCTCCAGAACCGATCAGCCTGCTGCCGAACGTATTTAAAATTAAGATCGGCAGCAGAGCTGAGCAGACTGATCGGGTTCGGTCTGCTTGAGGAATTTGAAAGAAGCCCACACTCCTACCGAGTGGGCTCACATTTGGGCCTTCGTGAGCCTGGGGACAACTCCGATAGAAAAAGGACAGTCCTGTTGATGATTTCGAACAATTAGTAGAACCATGAATACTTTTAAAACCATGTACTCTAAGTCTTGGTACTTGGTAGTACATGCCGCGGGCCGCTTCAGCAGAGGCCGGCCTGGTATACCGTCGTTAAGCTTTATTTTATCAATGCCGGAATCCTTTCGAGAGGGTTTGCAGCGCATCTTCCACTTTGATTGGCTGAAAAAGTATGGAAACGTGCTAATAGGGTGAAGGGTAGACTGGTGGATAGATGATAAGTCTTGGTAGAATACCAGATACAGTATAGTATTATAATGATCATTATACATGTACACTGTACATGACAAACCTCACAAAACTTGTTGTGAGCGTGCCTGGATTTCAGGGGAATTGCATCGAATTTTCGAGTAGGGTCCAGAAGAAAGACAATTTGATATCGGTTTGAATGGCATATCTCTCGCTTCCATACGATAAGTAAGCACCGGCGGATAATGCCGGCATCATTTGGTGGTTGAAAATTTGGAGCATAATTTGGCATCCTTTCGTAGGTAGGAGCATAACTACATGATCGTACCACAGTTCTACTTCAAGAAGTAGTATGTAGGCTACACAATTGTGTACAATGCACCTGATCAGTGCTTGTGGTCTGCATGGCAAAGGGATTGGGAGGTCATGCAGATAGTGTTTTCAATGAAAAGCAGGGCTGCACATATTCCGTAATTCAGTACATGTATTTTCAATTCTAGGGTGCCCTGTAAGAAGGCCTTAGGCCTGTGGGGATTGCCCTATCAAACATTTGGTAATAATAATGTGAATAATTGTGGTTCCGACTTCGGCAAGGATTTGCAAGAAAGGGTTTGCTCCGCACACTGGAGCTCGCGCTATTCCGCCGAGTCAAGAGTCACTGAAGTCCAGTTGGCGGAATAGCGCGAGCTCCAGTGTGGGGAGCAAACCGTTTCTTACAAATGTGAATAATAATGATGATTTTAGAATTGCGATAAACAGAGCGAGCTAAACAGTCATTTCACAAAGGCTTTATTGTGTTCAAAACGAGTGGATACGATGACGGTGAAAGAGGAGGGAAGGAATACTATTTAATTAAAGTAATAATTAATGCCTCAAGAGAGGGTCCCTGGTTCGAGTCCTGGTGGTGATAGTCAATTTTTTCTTCAGACTTTTCCTGTTTGCGTCTTTCTCCCAAACCAGTGAATAATAATACAATCATGTAGTTGTTTTCAGCTCTTACAGCCATCGTAAGTACATGTATCATTATGAATAGAGTTAGTGTTGTGCACCTGTCAAATACCAGATTGCACAGGGTTGTAATGCAGACTAGGCCTTGACGGATTATGCTCGCATAATTTTTTCGCATAATTCCTACCAAAATCGAATAATCGCATAATTCGAGGCAACTTTGCTAGATAGCTTTACTGAGTTTCCATAGCCCAATATCATGCTCTAGGTCCTGCAGATAGGCCTCCTGTACAGAGTATCATCTCTACACAGAAAAATCCAGCCTTTTCGCCCACTGAAATCTTCCATAGCCTATCGTATACGGTGGATTTCGCGTGAACTGAGCCAGCGTGAGCATGCCAGCGTGAGCATGCCAGCGTGAGCATGCCAGCGTGAGCATGATGATTGATGAAACAATAACATTGGTCCGAAGATGGCCCTGTTTTGCAGCTTCCATTATGTCAAGTCAAACCCTTTCTGAGCAGGAAACACAAAATTATTATAGGGGTTACTCATGATAGAGTCTAGACTAACTTGGCTTGACACTGTTGACAGATGCGTCGACTCTGCTCCTGTCTAACAGGTTCAGGGAAGATGCGAGCTGTGTTTATTATTATTCAAAGGATCAATCGGGGAAGTGAACTGCCTGAAAAGAGAAAAAAACGCCAGACCCACCAGGGGGATTTTTTTTTTTTTTTTTTTCTCTTTTCAGGCAGTTCACTTCCCCGATTGATCCTTTGAATTTGAAGTTCTCCCAATCCTTTCCAAATTATTATTATTATTATTATAATATTATTATTATTACGAAGTAGTGGTTGCGACTTCGGCGATAATTTGTAAGAAAGGGTCAAGTGTCAAGTAAAGTCGGCGGAATAGCGCGAGCTCCGGTGTGGGGAGCAAACCCTTTATTATTATTATTATTATTACGAAGTCTGATCTGCTGAAGAAAGTGTTGAACAGTCTCTGCTGGGATGACGACTACACCATAGCTCAGTGGTTAGAGCATCGCTAGCTACAAGCGAAGGTCCCTGGTTCGAGTCCTGGTGGTGACGGTGAATTTTTTCTTCAGACTTTTCCCGTTTGTCTCTTTCCCTCGAACTAGTGAAGATTATTATTATTACTCATGATTTTGGCAAATTCCCGCTGTAAAGCCTCCTGGTCTAGGACCTTGAGCGCCCCACTACATTATTCATGAGATCGAATTTTTCTGGCCAGAATAATTATTGTATCCGACATACAGCATTACAGGTAAAGAACAACAGAAACAGATTGATGTACATGTACTTGAATTACATGAACGTGGACACTTCACAATTCAGCCATGATTCATGGAAAACACAAGCATGCCAGGCTACTCCCAGGCTTAGTCTCGGCAGTCTTCGGCCTGCATAATGAACACTTGAGTTGAGCCTCCCAGCAAACCCGATTTTGTTGGTCTTGGTTAAGGCACTATGACGTTTGTGGCAAACAATCATATTCGACCATCCTGCACGACTCCTATCATCTCAGTTAACTTTCAAAGTCCCAGCATCTTAGCAGGAAATCGGTTTCTCTTGCGGGATCCCCTCCACTTGTGTTTTAAAAGTCTAAGTCGATGTCATCAGCGCCGCCAGCACAAGCCTTTGCTTGAATAATGCAGACGAGTCTCAAAAGTAAATTCAGTTTGATTCTTCTTTCTGCCAGTCATGGTGCAGTCATGACAACACGTGATTCAATTACACTAGTGCGGCATGTTTTTCGTCAATCATGATCCGAGCTCTTATGTTGACTCTGTTTTATCGTGTCTTCTTGCTCTCGTTTCTGATTACACAACAGCGCAGTGCACTTAGAGGTTTCATGGCCGAAACGACCAGTTGAAGTACACTCATGCATAATCTATACCTCCTCTTGTGTTGGCAAATGAAACTTGGAATCCGAGTCCGGTCCAGTATCATTAAAGCTAGTGCAGCGCTTTGCTGAGCAGTGTTCCCAGTGGGATGCTCCATAAACACGATGCTAGAGTCCTGGCCAGAGAAATCAGACATACTGAATATAATACTAGTGCCGGGGGGGGGGGGGGGGGGGTATGCGGCCCTTGCACCACACACACGCCACTCTGGGGAGTCTGGGAACTTGAGCGCGGCACTACATTATTGGCCAGAATTGTATCCGACATACACGAAAAGATCAGCAGGACAAGCGATGTACATTATAGACACATAGCCAGTTCACAGTTCAGCCATGGCTGCTAGAACACACAAGCATGCCAAGGTACTCCCTGGCTTGGTCGCTGCAGTAGATAACTCAATTCTGGGGAAAGGTAACCTCTAAGACAAGTCGAAAACATAACAAAAAGTGACAGACTGCTTGCAGTACAAATCATGAAAATATGAGCACCTCACACACAAATGGCAACTCCGTTACATGCTTCAATGCCTGTTGCTCCACTCCCAACAGGGTGATCCAGCAGCACACAAATCATGAAATATTATAATAATTATTGTGTAGCGAAGAAAGAAAAGAAAAAGGCTGTAATCATTGAGGTAAATTTCTGCATGTCATTGAAGAGTCAAACGCGCAAACGCAAGGTACATGGCACGGGAGAATGGGGACGCAATTTTAGTGCCAGTACAACCAAAAGGTATTTCAAACCCAGTCTGGCCAAAAGCTAAGGTATTGAGGCTCTATGTCTTCTTGTCAAGCGTGTATATAACACGCTGGGTTGACAGTTGGTCATATCCGGTGAATCAAATTGATAGTGGAAAATCATGTGCTCAGGTCATAGGACCATCTGGAAGTTCACTCCATGAACATCTTGGAGCTTGCGCTCTGAAGGCAAAGCAGCACACCAAGACGATTGATCGATCACACGCGTGATGCAAGCCAAGAATGTCACAAAGCCTCTAACGCAACTGTCATACGCGTGCATCAGGCTTTATCTGGCAGTCAGAAAGCAACTGGGGGGGGTTCCATTCCAACGTACAGTAAAAACTCCCCATCTACGGGGCACTGCCATGTGCCGGGAAACTTTCTGAACCCTCTCAATAGAGTAATTTTGAGGTGAAACTTAAATGGTATCAAAGATTTTGATGGTAAAAAGTGCGTACTTGTGTTAGGTCGCCATCCCCTGAACATTGCTTCCTTGCACAACCTTCCCCTGCTTGTACACATGGCTTCCTGTGTTCCATCTCATGTAGCTGTTCATTTCTCCATCTCTCCCCTCATCTCTCCTCCAATAATTGTCTTCCCCAACCCACCTTGTCTTTGCATAGCCGTCAGTGTGAAGCAATGGGACTTTCGATGACTCAACACTTGCACATAATTAATGAGTTTTTTCAGGTTTCTGGACACCCCTTGCATGAATGTTCGGAGTTGTGGGTGGTTCCTAGTTCTGGGCAGAGCACGGGCCCAGTTTTCCAAACCTGCCCGGAAAAGGGTATTTCTAATGTACAGTTCTACCATTGACCAACATCAGCCGGAATAGACCAAAACGGTGCTTAGCTGTAATGATCAGCACAGCTATTAACTGGCATTGGGGATAGCGCCCACCAGTCCAATGTACTTGGTTAATTTTGTAGGTTTGTGCTCTCTTAAAATTTTTTAAAAAAATGCGCCATGTTCCTGTTTCACATTCTTCTGCGGGAACACACAGACTCCTGCTTATTTCCCATTACGAGACTGGTATGTATATACACCGTGCACTGTATATTACCGATGCCCACTAGGCCAGGCCATTCATTTATATTGCCGATGCCCACTAGGCCAGGCCATTGTACTGGCCAGTCGCACAGAGCCCCACCGAATGCGACCTAACAAGGTTGAAACAGCTGGCTGTCCAGAGATCGAGTGTTACACTTCCTCACCGCTCGTCTCGGTTGAGCACTCATTCTAGTTTTTGGCAAAGGTATATTCTCTGGTGTGTGCAAATATAGATGTGTTTATCGCACTTGAAGCACTCCCACCAGGATGCTTCAGGGCGATCTAAGAAGGAAGCCCTGCTGTTCACTAGGTTTTCATTCAGTTTTTAAACATTTGGACCGTCTTGTGAGCCGTCCATGATGGAAGCAGCACTAGCAGATCTAATCTAGTCACTTGCTGTGTGATTCAAGCGCTGGCTCATCCCAACGTTCTTGGGGGGGGGGGGGGGGGGGAGGAGGCTACTACCCGGTAGAAACCTTACCTTCATCTTGTAGGCAGCGTTTGCGGCTTCATCCTCGCAGTCCACCTTGCGGGCAGCTTTCTAAAAATCACAGTGCCAAAAGAACACAGGTTATAGTTGCAAGAATACACAGATGTTGTTGCTGTCCATTTTAAAAACGCACGATGGACGAGGCAAGGCGGATACAGTGGATGTGCGCGTCTTGGCGCTTAAGTCTGAATTCAAATAGAACAAGCAAACAAAACAAACTCTCACCCTCTTTTTCTCCTTCTTCTTCCCGGGTTTCTTTGCGGCTGGTTCCTTGGGAGTCTCGGCGTCATCTGAATCACTTGAACCGTCACCATCTTGTCCAGCGGCCGTAGTGGCACCGGATTTCCGCGGTGATTTTGTTCTGGGAGCCGCTGCTGCGGCTGGTGCTCCAAGAGACGCCATTGCAAGAGCAGCTGATTCCATATCTTCTAGTGCGTCCTCCTCCTCACTGGCATCGCTATACGTGCGGCCAGTGGTGGCAACTTCTCGCTGCATCGAAAAGAAACAGAGACACGTGAACATGCCCAAGTCCACAATACGCAACGGGCATGCACTCACACACATGCACACACGCGCACGCGCGCGCGCACACACACACACACACACACCATTGGACCATTGGACGCCCATCGGCGGAGGCGATGATAGCGATGCTACAGCAGAAACCATAGCAGCTTGTGCTGGGATTGCACCATTCAACAGCTTGTAAGGCTGCACACACACGCGCACACACACACACACACACACACACACACACACACACACACACACACACTTTACTGAATATCACAGCTGTCATAACACACACGAGACGTGTAGTTCTCCCCTTGTTTGCGAATTCGTACTGCAGGGATCAGTTGTGAGAGGTCACTTAGACAAGTGCTAAGCTGGAAGGGCTTGCAAATAACTCACAACTTCAAAACCACGGTAGATCGCTCTTGCTGGAAATTATTTGTTGAGTGGGTGGTTAAAATAGCTCGTCGTCGCAGTAGTGTATTTCCTGGAGTTCATGATGCCAAACAAGGACTACTCGAAGCTGAGGACCAGCCATTTTGGTCTCACCATATCGACTGGCCAACTCGAATTATAGCTATGCCAAACTGCCCAAAAAACTAGCTAACAAAGTTGACGAGGAGGTGTTTCAATCGACAACGTAGGATGCTGATATTACTACTGCTGGAGCGAATTTCAATGCAGTATTAGTTGTGGTTGTCAATCCCTTGCAACCTTCGAGCGGATATGAGGAGTTTAAGCTCAATGTGTGTTTGCTATGGACAACGCTGCTGTAAATACCGTGAAGTACCCTTGATCCGCCCCCTGTTGACTTTCTGCCTGTGAAGCGACGTCGACGTAATCAGTCACGTATACAACGAAATACGATGTTGAACCGACAAATGTGCTGCTACAATACGTGAGGATGCAGGATGGAAATGTGCACAATCCAGCATTCCAGCTCTGATCTTCTGCTTTGTTGTACATCGTACTGCACTTGAATGACTTGGTCGAATTCCCGCCCCCTGCCGAAAACGAGCTGAGAAGCGACACAGCAGGGGGGGGGGGGGTAATGTAATGCACGGTAATGATAGTCCACTGTCTCAGGGAGAACATCAAACCAGCCGGTCTGTGTAGAATACTATTCTTGACAGCTGTAGTACTGTTGCGCCGCGTCGAAGATTTGATGGACTTTTCGTGTGCTCTGGATGGCAGCCGTGAGTCAGTCAAGTGCCGAGTCTAGTTGGTGGGAAAGCGCGAGCCCCAGAGTGGGTAGCAACCACTTTTCCTTTAAAATGATCGCCAAAGAAGTCGCTACCACTATTTCGATCAGTAACGTCACTAAAATACCCAATAGGGTACCTATGCTACCGTAACCCGTATAGAAATATTCGAACCCGTTACCCGGTCAAACCGCTACCTGTTGCAGCCGTACTAGCATTTACTTCTCGAGCACTGGTGTGAACATGGCAGCAAAGTAATGAAGGCTTTGGGAAAGTTCACACAGACCCAGGCAATCTAATCTCGGGTACATATTTGTATGCATGGTGAAAGATTGAATTCGTTCCTTCACAATGCTCGATAACATGATGGTGGTAGCCAATTGTTTCTTCAGACCCGATTTTTCTTTCTTTCAGTTTCAAAAACACTTGTCCCATTCCATGATTGTGTTGTGTGTACCATATGGAGTGAAGATATGTTGCTAAGCCAATAAGCAGATCGTTATGATGTCAGCTAAGCCACTAAGGAAATATCATGATCATTTCAGCCCTACCACAAATACGCAATGAAACCTGTTGAAGGCGACCTTTCAAGGGACCTTCAAAATTTGGTCGCTGTGCACAGGTGGTCTCCTACTCCAACATCATTTGACAGGCTTTGACTTGGTCCTAGGTAAAGTGGTCCTTTGGTCCTAGGTAAAGTGGTCCTCTGGGGCAGGGGATCGCCTCATCCGAGTGATTGCCTTGACAGGTTCTACTATGGAATCACGAAAAAGAAACTTTTGCTCCGCCAAAGGTCACTTTGGAGCCAAAATCTAAGTTCTTGCTAGTGCCCTCTCGTAGGTATTGCCAGAGCTCAAAACCGCTAGACATGGTAGCGCTAAAATATCGTTTTCACTCACAAAGCGACTGTTCAGTACATGGGGTAGTGGTCTACCAGAGCAATCACACTCACGACTACCACGAGGAAAAACAAAGACCACGATGGCAGGTTCAACGGAGTTGCGCAGAACAAGAGCAAATGCCCGAAAATATTTGTGAGTGAAAAATACGTTTTTTGCACTCTTTTGCTACGCTCAGCCGTGAAAAAACAAAACGATATAACAAACTAGGAGAACCAAGCAGTGTTGAATCCCCGCAATCGTGTTTGCACTCGGTTTCGCCTTGTAGAAACATTCCGTGACAGATGGTGATATGCAGCTAATGGTACGATATCCCATACTTGTTGCTTCCAACCTGTCACAGTGCACTGACGCATGCATCACCACTGTCATTGCTCCGGCAACTCACCGACTGGGCTTGCAATACTTCATTGTCGAGACGTCGCATATTTCCAACAAAACAGCGATAGCGCTCACGCGACGTTTCATTCCTATACACAAACACGGATGAGTACAGTCCAAGTAGAACAATTGAAGTGAGAAACACACCAAACAATTCCATTGTACATGCATCGTCACTGTCAAAGCCACTAAAATACTTTTTCAATACCGGATTTGCTATATTTTCTGTTGTGCGAGTCCTGTCAGAAGATCTCCTTCGTTCTTCCCCAACGACAGACAACGGGAAAACAACTAAAGGAAATGTGTACTCACTGGCCAGAGTGTCTATAGAGTAAGCGTTGCTCCAGCAAGTTTGATGACCGCGCGCTAGTGTACTCCCCCTCCATGACAGCTCGTGCACTGCGCTGGGCGGAATTCGCACCCAGCACATCATACCGAAGGTCTGCACACACACACACGCATACACATGTGCACACACACCAACGTGTGCACACACGCACACACACACACAAACGGACACAAACGCATATGCACCGTGCGCGTTCGTCGCAAGAGAACACAAATTCGCAAATAGACTGGATGCATATATCCACAGTTTTCTCTCTTATTTAAAAACAAAAATACTGGACAGATCTGAACGAAACAGATCAAGAGCTGTGCCAGGTACCTGCCCAATGCATATAATCGGCGAAGCCATGTGAATCAATCCCAACACACACCTGGTCTACGCCACAAGGAACACATCGGAACTGGATGGCCAAGACAAATACATATGCACACTCTGCATTTGCTGGGGTAACCATGCACATCTGTACATGCGTGCACACAAAGAAAACCATGCATACACACCTACACCCACGTAAATACGCACGTTTGCTCACACACAGACACACACACACACACACACAGACACACACACATACAGACACACACACACACACACACACACACACACAGACATACAGACACACACACACAGACACACACACACACAGACACACACACATACAGACACACACACATACAGACACACACACACACACACACACAGACATACACACACACAGACATACACACACACAGACATACACACACACACAGACACACACACACACAGACACACACACCACAAGTTTGCACATACACACACACGCACACACACACACACACACACACACACACACACACACACACACACACACACACACACACACACACACACATAGACGCCAAACGGCCCTTCGAAAAGGACAGCATACACCAAAGAGACCCAGCAAGCAGTGGATCGTACTTTGTTCCGCAACGTCTCTGCTCTTGGTGACAGGCTTGGACTTGGTGAGAACGCGAAGGCTCTGTGCCCCTTCACGACTCGTATAGTTAATCATCAGTTGGAAAGGCAGTGATTCCTTGCCATCGACCATGAGTGGAGGAGGAACCTTTGGCGCTGAAGCAGCCGCGGCTGTGGCTCCAGCACTGCTACCTTCAGATGTAGCAGCCCCTTCAGTTGCTGCTGCAGCAGCTGTCGGTGCTATAGTACTTGTCTTAGCGGCATCCCCCGATGCCGAGCTTAGCTCCACTGATCGATCCACGACGGTATCAAGTGCTCCGGCCTTCTTGGCTTTGTCTGCGAATACAACAGAGAATACGTGGAAATGAGACGAAGTGCACCTCACAACTCTGTTTTCCATGTGCGCTATGCAGCCGTCCAATCATTGATTTATGAGCAATCCACTACAGGAGCAATCCACTACAGAAGACAGTGGCTCAGTTGAGCTGGCGATAATACCACGGCAACATTAATATGTGTTTAGAGCGAGTTGCAAGCATTGGACTGTTTTCAACACTTTCTATATTATTAGCAAGAAGATATAATCTTGCAGTTGGAGTTTGCCGACACATCCTCACATGACACGTCCTGAGCAATACACACAGGGCACTTGTGTACGCACTTTGACGAGGAATTTCAAATAGAATACGTCATATTGACTTCCTCATTAATGCAAGGTGTATGTGTGTGTGCATTTGTACCAAAGGCATGCACTGAAACAGGCGTCGCTATGGCAACCACCCTTCCCACGAGAATGTTTTGCAAATTGAACAAATGCTGGGGATGCCTACTTCAAAGTACTTCAGTAAACAGACTGGGATATAGCCATGGTTACGCCAGCCTCGAGTACTACTACTTGAAGATCATACACTCATGATGTCCCCCCATAAGACCGTGAGTTTCCAATAGTTTCCATCTGTGTCTTCTGTGACTAACAACGGGGTAGCATGCTCCTTTTTCTTACGGACCGTCTTGTCATGATTAACACAGAAAATATTACACAAGACAATGAAAGCAAAAGAGAGAGTATCAGCCTAGCTTTTCTGACATATACCTTTTCCTTTCTTCTTCTTATCGGTTTTAATGCCGAATTCAAATGTAACTTCCGTCTCCTTGGTCACGTTGCCGACGCGTTGTTCAATGACGCTCTGCGTGTGGTCTTCGGGATTCTCGCTTTGTCGCACATACCTGGAGAGGGTCAGATGATAACACATAATACAAACACTCCATGCGTCAACGGAAACTAAGACAGTGGCCACATTACTACAAAGTACAAAGCACTCCCCCCTTCCCCTCTTCTCTTCTCTTTGTTCCCATCACAAAGAGGCAATAGAACGGCTGTAGCAGCACTGGCAGAAGTGACTCACAGCTTGTTGTGCAGCAGCAGCTTGGCTGTAACATTGGTAGCAATGACCGGATTGGACAGGATGGAGCCGAAGCGTTCCGTCAGGTGCATTGGATCCACAGTGTCAATGGCACCTCCAGTGCTGTCAGCCACCGAGCCTAACAAAAGGTGCACATGATATGCGTATGGTTACGACATAGTCAAGATTGCTGGCAGCAGACCTGCACACTGTACACCGTATACCAGTAAGTTACGTCGGCTGGCAGCAGTCCAAGTATGCTAACTATTACTTACAGCGCAGGTGTATGCGTGTGTATGCAAGGGGGTTGGGGGAGGGTCACTGAAAGGTAGGACCAGTCTCTCCGGAGGCACAGGTTCAAATCCCACCGCTGCCACCAGTGTTAGCTCCCGGCTAATGAAGTCCCCTCACACCAGAACACAGGGGTTTTATAGTATTGAATATGGAAGTATTTCGACAAGAGTGTAGACAAGCATGAAAAGGAGAACAGGACAACGCCACCTCAAGACACAAGACATCCACTGGAGCATGCGCTCTTCTATACGTGGGTGGCTTTCATTGCCAAGGGGAACGAGCGGGAAATACGAATAGTGAGTATGTACAGGTCGTAGCATAAATGCACCTATTACTCATGTAGGCATGCAGATCGAGAGGATTACAGAGAAGGAAATTTTATGAACGGGAGCATATCTTCCGTTTGCCTATGGCCCAGAAAACTGATATAGTACTGCATGGCGTATGGCAGCATTTCCAGGGCAGTGGATATTGTATGCTACAGCATTATGGGTCTGGCATCTGCAAACCATTCCAAGTATAGAGTCAGGTGACAGATCAGTATAGAGTCAGGTGACACATCGGAACGTTAGACCAATAGGACTCATGGGAGTAGGACATAAAGTAAGCACTCTGGCCAGGGATCAGTGAGCAGAGAGAGAGACGAAAGAAAGAAAGAGAGAGACAACAGAGACAGAGATAGAGATAGATAGATAGATAGATAGATAGAGAGAGCACAGAGAGAGAGAGAGAGAGAGAGAGAGAGCACAGAGAGAGAGAGAGAGAGAGAGAGAGAGAGAGAGAGAGAGAAATGAGAGAGAACAGAGCAATATTATGGATTTTCATTAGGTACCTACCAAGTTCTAGAGTGCGACATCGGTTGCCCTCAATGGTGACCACCGACACCGACACACTACACAGCACGGAGTCAGCAGACGGAGTAAGAGAACAACAACAGACAAAACAGTCTTCGACCACATAACAGGGGAAAATCCAGAGATCTCTACAAGGGGGTTCCAGTTTAACCAAAACTAAATAGCTGATACATGTACAGGTACATTGCACATGCATAATAATGGTTCCCAGTAGTACATTCGCGAAATTTAAGGGGGTTCCCCAGAACCCTTGGATACGCCCATGCATAACTACTGCCAACCATTGTCCATTCCGGTTCTGACTATTTGAGCACAGTCCAATAACCACGCTGGAGACTAATGAATGCACTGCAGTCTGCATGTTCTCTCCCTCTCTCTTCCATATTGGCACCATGTATAACAACATGACCATTGCTCCTTGAACCCCCACCAATCATCCTTACCCTTTCTCAGTTGCGAGCTCTCCGCACTCGTCAAAAAACTCTTGGGCCTGCTTCATCTTCTCGGGGTTGTCCGGCGTTATGTCTTCCAGGTTACCCAGGCCAACATTCGCCAGGCCATCGGTACAGATAATGACCTGCTCACAAGGGGAATTTCAAAGCAGAAGTGTGAACAGACAAGTGTTATACATGATTCTGCAGCACGTATTGGATGCATGGCTCCGTTTCTGTTACAAATTCCTATCCTCAAGAATCCAAAATAACTGCCCCTTTTCTATTTGGATAGCCGCATGAACCAAAACGGCTACCCAACTCCAACTCAGCTCTAGAACATGCACGGTAGAGATTTCCCCAAGGCAATCTCCACAATCATGTGACCTGATGCAGATATTGTTCACATACATCACAATAGTGTTATCAGTGCAGATATTGTACTGACGTTTCCAGGGACGAATTTACTGTCATGTTTTTGCATAGCAGTTTTTGCTATGCAAAATCTCAATTGTGGCGTAAGCTACAAAAAGGCATGGATAGCCTGTACATGTATGTATCGCAGTTTTCTGCGTGTCACTGTGATTTTTGAGTAGCAGTAGATCGATTTTGCGTAGCAAACTGTGATGCGATACCGGATAAATTCATCCCTGGTTTCACTGGTAATCACAGCAGCTGTTGGGCGCCTCACCTTTGAGCCGGCTTCTTGACCCGCTAGTGCAATGGATACGAGCAATGCTGGGCCCAATGCTGTGGCACCGTCTTCCTCCAATCTGGTACAACAATCAGCACCAGAAACGGAGTAATCAGGTAGACATAATCAAGTGTCTGAGTCCTCAATACCCTAACAAGGGCAGAGCATACTACACAAGTCACTCAGAGTTACGAGTAATAAGATACGTAAAAACCCTAAAATGATGTGAAATTGGGCTTGCCGAGAAGTTAGAAGGATAACTTTACTAAAGCCTTCGCACAGCAGTCCCTAATGAATGTGCCCTCCAGGGCATAATTAGGAAGAATTGAAGAATGTTGTGTATCGAAGGTGGAGTGTGGATGAGTGGAGTGCACTGTAAGACACCAGGGCTTGTAAAGCAAATAGAGAAAACGTAAATGTCACAGTTAGCGAATGCGAGCCAGGCTTTCCTGCATTCGTAGGTACGTCACACAGAGTATAGGCCACAAAGCATGACATGACCCACAAAGCATGACTCAAGTATCACCCCAGAGGGATAGAACAGTGAGAGAGTATGCTTCCAAAAAAATGCATACACGCACAAGGCCGACAAAAACTGCTCTAATGCTCTGTAACTCCACGAAGTGGCCAGAGAAAACACTGGGTACAGTACAGCATAAGGAGCTGGAAATCAGACCAATAATGCCACACATGCTGCACTGGAATGCACTCAGGTGCAGAGCAATCTACTTTCACAAAAAGCACCGCAGCAGGTTGCTAATAAATAGCAGCACGTAATCTTACTGGAATAGTTTTTCGGAGAGGCTCGAGACGACGTCCTTGACAGTACCCGGCAATCCTGCACTGCTCCCCATGCGCAGCAGGGTCTCCTTGTTGTTGAGCTTGTCTCCAGTGATGACAACTTCTACCTGGTCGCTTGTGCCGATGACCCGAACCTGGGCAGTAACCATAACACATCACCCAAGACGCTTACAGCATAGAGAATTTGCTAGCTACAGGTTTACCCTCGTTAGTACGACATCGGTTACAAGAAAATCTCATTAGTAGACAACGATAAAAAACCCTGACACCTGAAACGCGTACATTCACGTCCAGATAGTAGATTATACTCGATATAAAACAAATCATTTGAAACCCCCAGGGTTATCTACTAACGAGGGTAGAACTGTATATGGCTATCTCGTGCCAAATAGAACACATGGATTTTGTGAACAGCAACTAAAGCAAAAAGATAGAGGACTGGAAAAGCGAGGCCTGACTGCATAAGGGCGCAAGCTGTTCCCCGTGTTACTATAATTTCCACATCAACCGGAACGGGGGAGGGGGGGGGGGGGGTGCACCCGCTTGCTTACCTCATTGTTGAAGGCAATCAAAGCCACACGCCGTGCGGGAAACTTCTCCTTCATGGTGGTCAGTTGATCATCAACTGCTGCCTGCATAGCCTGCAGTATCCAACAAAGAAAAGTACAAGAAGCACATAATTATGCACGATACCTCAAGGCCGAGTATCGCTGGAAGCTCACAACGCAACTCTTGGCCTGCACAAGCTAAGATGAGTGTGCATACTGTTTGGGATGTTGCCGTGATTGGCTATCACCCTTTATTTCACATTCATTGTCATTGGCAGTCGTTTGACGAGCCAGGAAATGTTGAATAAATACACAAAAATGCTCTTATGCTTGACAGTACCTGCAACCTTGAGACATATGTGACGTTCCTTCGCTCGTTCGGGAGGCGCTGGTCAAGACTATCCCCGCTGATGCGGCCCGGTGTCGAGTTTATCCGACCTCGCAATTGGAACCGCCCGGGAACCTTAAACGGCATACAGAGAAGAAATGACACAGTGCTAGTCTCATTCCACCCAGCTAGGAATCTGGATGATTCAACATCATAACACAGGAAATAATGAAAGTTTCCGGTAGACAGCAGTGCAAATAGCTTTCAATCAGTAACATTGGGCGTCAAGAGAACCCCCAGCAGAAGAATGACCAGGCTGGAAACCTCCAAAATGTACACACCAGACTGCGAAACTCTGTGTCAAGAACAAGTCAGTAGTTCACCTTAGCGATACACAGTACACATGCTATAAACTTAGCCCTCCATTCTGAATAAGGATATAGAGGTTGAAATTTCGAAAAAAGGAATGGCATTACTCCACAGCAGAGCAACCCTGCATTGTATAAAGAGCTCTCACCTCAGTAGTAACGGACATACTGCCCGACACATCAACGCAGAAGACGATGATGGATTTGTCCACGGCACCGCTTTGGTCGGCCGCCAACGACGCACTAGTGGCTGGTGCTGGCGTGATCATAAACGTCACGTCCTCTTTCTTCGGGACCTCCTCTTCGGAGATGTCAACCGAATTCTCTTCACCACAGAACTCGCACACCCAGATCTATCCGTAACCAATCACAAACAACGTCATGATATTCACAAGTTGGAGGGGTCATCAGTGAAAGGGGAAAGGTCTGAAGAACTCCATGGCTGTCGCCACCAAGACTCAAGCCAGGGATTTGCGCTTGAGGCCAGCGGCACCCTGTCCACCAAGCTACGGTGTAGTAACAACATTTTGACATTCCCCGTTTCGCCTCTATACTACACTGGTAGGCACAATATTGGAACGAACGCAGCTAGCTTGAGTAGAGATGCCAAAAACTGGGAAACAGCTGATGTCACCATCACGTACCCACATCTTGTTGCAAGTAAGTTATGTGTCTACCGTTCAACTTGACGGCATGATATCCGCTAGATACAACTGCTTGTGCATCGCAGTAGTATTCGACGTCAGTGAGTTTCTAACACAAGTATGCGCTCATAAGTTAGTTCGAGCGTGTTGAAGATGGAAAGAGTTTGATGAAACAATGACTCCGGCCATCAGAAGACTCGAACCCAGGACTTTAGCTATAGACCAGAAATACTCTGGCCACTAATCCATGGGGGATAGGTGTCATCCAAGCGGAGTCCGTTGAACATTTTCTTCAGATTTGAACGGCCACCGTATTTTTGGCAATACTGGCCAAGGTGCTTACTAGTTCACTAGCCCAAACATTTCACCCAATCTGAAAAAAAATCCACACAAGAGTTTCGAAATAATGTAACGCTTTTCCAGACACGTGGTTATAAAAGACCGGCACTGTTTCCCCTAGAATACGATATGCGCGTAAGCGGCGGCGTAACTCATTATTACCTTGGCATCCTCGCCACGTGTTTCGTCCGGTGTGAGGCGGCTGAAGTGCGAGAGAACTGCTCTGCAGCACGTGCAGGTCACTACCTCACCCGTGTGCATCTTGCTGGGCTCGGTCAGCTGATTGAACTTGATGGCGATCACATTGGTGTCCGCACGGCGTCCGGCATGCATGCGACCGCGATGCAGGGGCTGGTATTGGAAACGGGCGTCCGCTGAACGATCTGAAAGCAATGGGAAGAGGAAAAGTGGATTAACGTCGTCGTTGACCAAACGGACAGTATACGTGCAAAGTTAATATGCGTTAGCAGTGTGAAAACTCTCGTTTCACACGAGTTAGCAGTTTGAAAACCCTGTTTTACATGGATTAGCAGTGTGAACCCTGTTTTACATGGATTAGCAGTGTGAAACCCTGTTTTACATGGGGCAACAGTGGGAAAACCATGTGCCCGTAGTGTGCAAATCCTTATTGAATCTGGAGCTACTTGCTTCAAAAGTACCGGCCACTTCACTCCACCGCAAGCCCAATAGTGAATGAAACTAGATCAAACAATTCATAGATGACCAGCATGATCATTGCTTGTGACATTCCGACCGACGTACACGTTTCCAGCCGGGAGGCAATACAGTGATAAGCTGGTGTATGAGCGTCGCATAGAGCTCTTCGCACGTCGATTTCGAGTGAACTCTCTTTGCTCTAAGTGCGCACGGATAGAGATATTACTACTTTAGTAGTCATGACTGTAGCTGGATGTTGCACAGCTATGAAGTCCAGTAGCACGATCGATAGATATAGCAACAGAAAAAACATCCACTCACTCATCAGCACTCCCCCCCCCCCCACACACACACAGACGCTAAGGATCTCACGCACCAAAAAGCACAGCGTGACTCGGCCTAGCCTGGTCCTATTCCGAACCAATTACCAGTACGTGTATAGTGCAATGGAATATGAGCCTGGAGGTTCTTTGGTGCTCAAGATCATCCTCAGCGCTTAGGATCATCATCCCATTTCTCAATCAGCACTTACGTGAGGCAGACGGCGCTGATCGATGTGCCGGCGGTTCAGAGCCACCTAGCGTAGTCCTTACTCTGTTAGCTAGGCGCTGCATGAACGATGGAGCACGCTGGGCAGCAGGCGCTGCTGCTGCCGTTGGTACCGTATGAATACCCTCAACACCTGACGCTTCTCCCGCTTGCTCTTCCTCGTCGTCCTCATCTGAAAACACCAGCACAGCCAACTACGTTTGTACTTCGAAGTAGCACAGTGGAGGGAGTCCATTCGCGGGAGTGCCGAAACCAGTGCCGAGATCAGTGGCAGAACCAGTTGCAGATCCAGAGGCAGAACCAGTGCCAGAACCAGTGCTAGTCAGTCCACTGAATGCAAGGTCTCTGACCTCTACGAGCCAGCTATACACCAAAAACATTGCAAGCTAATGGGATCCTAACAGGTACTCTCGTACGGCCTACCTTCAGCAGGTGCGGGTATTGCCGCAGGCAACGCATCGTCAGCAAGCTGGACTCGCACGCCACTCACTTCCTCAGTGTCTGGAAGAGCGGAAGTAGGCAGCTCAGCGGCTATTTCGGAGCTTGCAGCTGGCTCAGCATAGCCTCTAAGAAGTAGAGGACAATCCGATGAACATGACCATCGCATACGCACGCACGCACGCACGCACGCACGCACGCACACACAGTATGACCAGGTAGGAAAGTAAGGTCACGAGCGTACCCGCCACTACTGCTGAAATGGAATTGTGGTGACATCATCAGTACGCAAACTCAAATTCCATATCTAGAGAACTTCTTGACTTCGCGACAAAACTCTACTATATGTAGTACTCAGAGCAATTGACGACTGAAGAGATAATACACTGTACCAATGTAAACCAGCTTTCTACAGGGTTTTTTTCCCCTTCAATTCCTTGTGCCCAAGTAAGGGGCCGTCCGTAAATATCGAACATTTTTCACCAAACGAATTATTTTAGTTTAGACCCAACCCCTCCCTCCCTCCCCCTCAGAACGTAAAAAATGTTGAGATATACATGCGTATACAACAAAAGTCGCAAGTGTGTCACTGCTCCTAAAGACATGTACAGTCAGTATCGCCTATAGCGTTGGTGTTCAATTTTGAGCATTTTATCACTATAAGCGATATATTACTATGACCGATACTGCATGCAATGTATGCGAGTGGGGTGTCAAACGACTCAGCGCGCCGTGCACATACGCACTACATACATGTACAATGGCATGTAGCTGGCTGTAGCTCTTGACACACAAAATCAGCATTTCCTCATGATGGAGGCATATTTTGGCAACTTGTACGAGCAAAACTCACCAAACAACACTCACTGGACAAGTTCTTCACGAAGAAGTCACACCCTGTTCTCCTCTGACATCGCTTGATTTTACATCAATCACTATAACCGATGCAAAAATAATGTAATAAAGGTCTTTTGAAATAAGAATTTGATCACTATAGGCGATATATTACTATAGACGATTACTATACGCGATAACTGTGTATACTTAGTTATGGCAAATGAAAATGAATTTGAGAAATTGATCACTATATCCGGTACATGTATATTACTATAGCCGCCAACCTTATAGGCGATACGGACTGTACATGTATTGAACTTTTCTTAAACGAAATTGGTCAACCCCTCCCACCCCATAACGAAATTATTTCGTTTCGTGAAAAAAGTTCGATAATTATGGACGACCCCTTAAAGGCGCAAGCATTTTCCTGACTGTATGATTTATGTGTCTGTTTTCACTACAATCATTCTCTAGTTCTGTAGGTCATGTATGGTATCACTCATGCGTGAAATCATGTGATCATCAACCCTGTTTTTCCCGGGCTTGTGCTCCTGTGCACGAGACGTATGCTTCAGATGTATGGCCTTTTTCCCGCTGCACGGCATCTCACGTGCAGAGTTTTTCCGCGTGCAGTGCTCTAGCAGCTTTGGTTTTGTTGTTTTGCACTCTCCTTGTCTTGAAAAGAGTTCATGGTGAACAGTGGTTGAATCCAATTCTAAGTTTCTTCTCAGTTTTAGCAGTGTCTTATGTTTGATATTCTTAGTGCATACAGTCTTCCAGAGAAAGAAAACAAACATACTGGTCCTTCGAGCCGGATTTTCAGGATGGACGAGCAGAGTGCCATACCTGGACAGCGAGTCAGTTCAAGATCAACGAAGGGCAAGCTGCCCAAGCGATTTATTTCCTCCGACGCAGACGTCGGAAACCTAACACAGCGAAGACATGATGAGAGAGGTGTAAGGACTAGTGCATCCGAAAGAAGAATAGCCAAGGAAGTCGAGAGACTACAGGCGGAGTTGGACAAGGAAGCAGAAGTGGCGAAGTTGCGACAAGAGTCGATCGCCATCCAACTCGATCTAATGAAGAAGGCAAGCACGGTGGAGAGGGCGAAGTCTGAGTTTCGTCGCCGCTCTTCCGCATCTGCTTACAGTGAGAACAGCAGCGAAGATAGAAGTGTCTACTCACCTTCCGATTTGGACCGACCAGTGGTCGGCACAGGACGTGGGTCTACACCACAGTCAGCTGATGGACTGGTCGAACCGACAGCCACAGTTACAGACGCAGCGTATGCGTCGGGTGATGTTGAGGCAAACCCGGTGGAGATGGTGCTTGGGCAATCGCCAATAGTGCCACCCAGTGTTACTGGTTCAGCAAGTTCAGATGCTGATGACGACGAAACAGAGGTGGATAGTTGCAGCTCCGACTACAGCAGAAGGCTGCCTCTGTGGTATGTTAGAGAACTAAGGAACAGAAAGTCGAACTCAGAACTGGCAGGGGACCAGCAGCAGCAGCAACAACATGTCAGCAGATCCACACAGCAGTTTGTTGTCAGGAATCCAGGCAGACTACAGCCAACAACTACCCTGTCAAGGGCAGTAAGGACACCAGCACACCCAGTGAGCAGCAGACCAATGCCAGCAGTGGATGCTGCTGTTCCGTCACCACCTGCTACTATCAGTGCAGTAGGCAGTAGCACCACCAGTGGAGCATCAGCAACTAGGCCGCATGGTGTGGACGGTCTCAGCGCACAGCGCGCCGTAGCCGCATCCAGTGCAGCGCCAACTCAACGCTCTGGCTTCGTGAGCCAGGCGTTCGCACCAATGACAGCACTTACAGCAGCCGCCCCTCCGTTTGTGCCGAAGCCCAGCGTGACGGTGCACGGAGCAGCTACCAGTAGTCAGCCGACAATCTCGCGTGAGGTCAGACCCGGCCTGACATACACCAGCACACCGGCGTATCCATATCAGCCTATGCCTGTACCACAGTACATGGTTTCAACAGCAGCACCCCAGTACCCGAGTAGCCAAGCACAAGCAGTGCCAGCCCACCAAATCGGACAGCATCAGGGTGCCCCGACAGTGACGCCGGCCTACCGCCCGAGTGGCCACCTCAAGGCACTGAAGCTGCCCATGTTTGATGGCAATGAAGACAATTACGTGAGATGGCGGCAGAAATTCATGGGACTGGTCGGCGCAGATCCGAATGTCACAGAATACTACAGTCGACCTACCCTTATAACGATATTTGCGTCACACCAAGAAATATTGTTATAAGGGTAATATTGTTATAGGGGTAACTGGTTCATTTCATACACATACGTCATAATTCATGGATAATTCATGGGTTTTGTTCTTTTTTACACTCTTCATAGCATAACAAACTGACATACATGCACATTATGTGCACAGCAAGGTGCCAACTGGTGCCCCATTGCATTTCACCATGTCCCAACGACTTATCAAGTGAAGCTTGCCCTACCTGGATAGTAGGCTCTACATATTCCCTGCTAGATATTGTTATAAAATGGAAAATGTCGATTGGTCAGCCCATTTTATATCGTTATAGGGGTAATATCGTTATAGCAATATTGTTATAGAGGTAAGGCATTGTATACACAAGTCAATGGAGTGATTTGGTTTGCCAAATAAATATCGTTATAAGGGTAATATCGTTATAGAGGTTATCGTTATAAGGGTAGGTCGACTGTACAAGATGGCACGCCTGAGGGAGGCTCTCGCGGGTGGCTGTGCTGAGGAGCTGATAGAAGACGTCATGGACGGGCCGGGGGCCTATCAGGCAGCCATGCAGGAGATCGAGGCCTGGTATGGTGGTGAGGATCGTCAGATCGAGCGGCACGAGCAGGAAATCATTACGTGGGCGAAGATCACTACCATGAAGGACACTGAGAAGATAAAGAAGTTCGCATTGAAGCTGCGGAGTGTCCTGGTGAACATGAGGTCATGTGGTATAACCCCTGGCCGAGAGCTCTATCTCGCTGCAACGGAGAAAGTCCCGTCGTCGTCAATGCTGCTCAAGTACTTTGAGAAGTATGATGACCAGAAATGCGATGTACAATCATTCGCGGACTGGCTGCTTCACGTCGTGCACATGATGCGGAAGGTGGACGAGCGCCAACGCAACAGCTACAAGAGCCAAGCAGTGAACTGTTAGCAGTAGTGAACAGTTTCGCTCCGTGTGAACTGCTAGCAGCAACGAACAGTATTGTACAGCAAAGTGACATGTTCTTAAGGAACATTGATATGGTCATGCACCCGACTTGGAGATCATTATCTGCTGTTTTTCTCATCATCTTAAAATTCAAAATTGTTCTTAGGTGACAGTCCAATTCTCCGGCGTTGGCCGTTCCACTCAAGTTTGGTGCAGCGTTCAATCCATGCTATACATGTAGTGTGATCTCTTCTGTTTACGTTAGCTTGCTCTCATCTGTCAACCATAGTTCTGCCTTATTCGAGCAAAGAGGGGAGAAATGTATGATTTATGTGTCTGTTTTCACTACAATCATTCTCTAGTTCTGTAGGTCATGTATGGTATCACTCATGCGTGAAATCATGTGATCATCAACCCTGTTTTTCCCGGGCTTGTGCTCCTGTGCACGAGACGTATGCTTCAGATGTATGGCCTTTTTCCCGCTGCACGGCATCTCACGTGCAGAGTTTTTCCGCGTGCAGTGCTCTAGCAGCTTTGGTTTTGTTGTTTTGCACTCTCCTTGTCTTGAAAAGAGTTCATGGTGAACAGTGGTTGAATCCAATTCTAAGTTTCTTCTCAGTTTTAGCAGTGTCTTATGTTTGATATTCTTAGTGCATACAGTCTTCCAGAGAAAGAAAACAAACACTGACGATTGTCTAGTAGTGGTGTGTGCAAGGAGGATACTTGATGTCTACACCATCTTACTCTATGTTTTCAAGTTCAGAACAATCTTGGTTCAAATCAACATACATAGTACTGCTATCATACATCATACATCATACATAATACTGCTACTGCCACACCAAATAATGGACATGACCTCTACTGCTCTAGTCTAGCTCCACCAGTATACCAGTCACATGGCAGACTCACCACTGCTTCACCCCATGGCCCAGTTGTATCCATTGTGCCCCCACACTAACTCATGACGTAAGGCACGTTGCCCTGAAAGGCTGAATAGCTGAAGACAGTATTCTGATAGGCACCGGTGCACATTCCAGCGGACTCACGCGAGAAAGTGTTTGCCGGTGGCAGTAGCGGGTAGCAGCTCAGCTCAGTGCTGAGACTGCTGACACAGTCGAGTAGTGAGTACTCAAATATGCAACACGACCACGCCGCAACTCCCACAACAGAGCTGCCGGAAACACATAAAATTGGCCACGCTAACACTCACCTGGAGTCCATTGGAGTATAGAGTTCTGTGTCCTCGAAAAACTCTTCCTCCGAGTCGGAGTACGTGTAGACGTATGGTGACGCGAAATTCATTTTGACTGGAATGCGTTCTGGCTGAAGTCTGTTTGCAAAGGCAAATCGAAGAGCATCAGGAACAATAGGGGAAAGCCTTTACAAAGAGAATAGTAATGAAGCAGAAGCTAAAGCGTACTTCTTTTCAGGCAAGACGCAAAGGGCGGTGACGAACTGACGGTCTTCGGTCGACGTCTTCAAAAGACATAAGTCCTTGATGCTCTAGCAAGGCAGCGCTTATCCTCGAACCGAAGTGCAAGTCGTAGACAAAACCATTGTGAGTTTCAACAAATCCCTTGCGAAGAAAACAGGGTGAAGATTTCACCCCTCGGTAGATCTACGGCGTTAGTGTAAGCACTACTTGACACAGATGACTCTGAGATGAGTCCACGGCCACGTGCATGCAGTCTTGACGTTTTTGCGGGTCATGAATTCCATGAAGTCATCATGAAGTCATCATGACCAGACATGAAGTCCGAGTCAGAGAAATAACAACGAAATGACCATGATGACTCACATGCATGATTATGAGTCACATGATGCAGTAACGTTATGCAGGTAAGTACAGTACTGGCTGCACAGTGCAGGCTGTAGTGTAGTGGAGTATGCCATGCATACAGTAACAGTACAATGTCATGTACAGATCTTCTTCACGTTTTCCAAGCACATACGTTTCAACATCCTTACCTGGCCTGTTTCATGACCAGATGGCAAAGGAGCTGACGCTAGCTGATTCAGTAGAAAAGTCTCTTGCAGGGGCAAAGCAAATGTGCTTACATAATGACACAATATCTCAATACCAAAAAAATTTAATGCCAAGAATCTGAAGAAAGACTAGCGGATTCAGTAATCATGCTAAAATTAATCAGTAGCACACTTCTGTCTGTACAGGTACAGGATTCAAGGAGTACAGCACTTGCTGTTGTTGATTTTTATTTTACTTTGCAAGGCTAAACGGGCAATGGTGCCCAATTCTATGGAAGTGAATTTCATACAGGAGAGAGCTACAGAGAGAGAGAGAGAGAGAGAGAGAGAGAGAGAGAGAGAGAGAGAGAGAGAGAGAGAGAGAGAGAGATAGAGAGAGAGAGAGAGGGAGAGAGAGAGGGAGAGAGAGAGAGAGAGAGAGAGAGAGAGGGAGAGAGAGAGAGAGAGAGAGAGAGAGAGAGAGAGAGGGAGAGAGAGAGAGCGGTGTGGACTCTGGCGTCCTTTGCATAGCTACGGGAATTAAAGATACCTACGGCAATGTAGGACATTAGATGTGAAGTCCCTACACACAATGCCACAAGCATAAACCATGACATATGGCTGCAATGTTTGTACGGTTTTGCTGGACACGACTGGTTACATCCAGGTGTTATCCAGGGAGATAATTAATTATCAAGTACAAAAGTTTGCAGCTCACAAACCGGACATTAAAAACCTAGTTGATTTACGGGAATGATCATAGCAAAATTAATATAGAAATTTCAAAATGTGGTTTTACTCATGGTTTGGGTGAATAATACCCAGTGCTGCAGTTTATTATAATACTCAAGACGGCGTCTGCCTAGTACTGGAACATGTTTGAGGTATATAGTGCTATCACACAGCAGAGGTGTGCGCTTCCCACCTGATTATACTTCATTGCGAGCGAGACTCTTACTTTTCAAACTAGTGCACACGGATCACTCGAAGACGGGAGAGCAACGTGGGAAATGTGCTAAAATGTGCTCACATCATACGAGTAAATCAGGGTGACTATGATATTCTACTCAAGACCAATAAGTCAGTTCCAGTCCAAGTACTTGTAGGTTGTTTCAATTTGCTCCAGCAGTTTACTAAGCTCACTCCCGTGGAGTTACGATAGCCACCTCGACGTCCTTCTCAGCTTCTAAAATCGCCAGGGACACCAGCTCTTTCACCTGGGCGCCTGTCAGGTCGCAGTGGACATTGACCGTGTTCTCGACAATGTCCTGCACAATCTCACTGACTGCAATGGACTGGCGCATACCGGCATCCGTCTTCTCAGGATTCTGGCCAAACGCGCGATCTGGCTTCAGCGTCATCGCCGCCAGCTCACTCTCATCCTTGCGCCCCAGTGGTTGCGTCATTGGCGTGGAGCCGCGGTCATCAGTGAGCAGCGCTCTGGCGAGGGCTTGATCCCTTTCCTGAGTGCGGCCGTGTGTGTATACACAACAAACACAATACACATGTCCACATACAGATACTACTTGTAGCAACAACAGGGCCGTCGGAACCGGTTCAGCAGATGCGGCCAAAGCCCCACCAATACGTTAAACCTGTTATTTTGAAGGAATGACTTATAGGCTATTTTGGCCAAACATTTCCAGGTGGCTTTTCATGGGCCACTTCATAGCTGCAGCAATGTAGAATACCATCCAACGCCCCTGAACAACACTTTTTGACTCTTCTCTATACCTACACAACAAGTACAGTGAAACCTGTCTAAGACGACCGCTCAAGGAACCTTCAAAATGTGGTCTCTGTTACCATGTGGTCTCTGTTGCCAGGTGGTCTGTTTATCCAGGGTCATTTGACTGCACATAGCATCCCTTGGTCCTGGCTGCAGTGGTCTTCTGGGACAGGTGGTAGCCTTATTCGAGTGGTCGCCATGACAGGTTTTATTGTACTAGCATAGCAATTGCAAGTATGCATGCACGGTGAGCCTACTCAAACAGAGTATGCCCAGGGGTGCATGCACGGTGAGCCTGCTCAAACAGAGTCTGCCCAGGGGTGCATGCACGGTGAGCCAACTCAAACAGAGTCTGCCCAGGGGTGCTAACGCAGTCAAGAGTCACTGCCAAGTGCCAACCATCTACAGAACGTGCATGCAACGTATTGTCTTCAGCCATTCCAATTTGCTGTCCTCTAGGTTCTATTCAGATCATTGCAGGTGGTGATAGGCTCAGCCACAGATCTTGTGTTGGTTCACTAGAAAAGTTTGCCTCTCTCTCTCTCTCTCTCTCTCTCTCTCTCTCTCTCTCTCTCTCTCTCTCTCTCCCCCCCCCTCCCCGTCCACCTCTTTTTCATGCCAAATATCACATTGCAGTTTGTGGATACAGTCAAATCTGTCGTAAGCGACCACCCCTTGGTGCAAGAAAAAGAGGTCGCTTACGGCAGATGTATGGTAAATCCGGCATACCAGGTATATGCTTCCATGTACTCAAATCGACGAGAATAATGTGATTTTTTATATCATTTTATTGGATATTCAACGACGACCATACCCGTATAGTAGTACGCGTATGCGACACGGCAGTAGATCGACACTGCCTGGACTTGAGAGCTACAGCACAGCCTCAGTACAGGCCAGGCGCCAGTCGATCGCACTTGCAAGACAGCGCATTTTCACACTTTGCAGTTGACAGCGCACTGGCAAGTACAGTTTCGCACCTTACTGAACCTGGGTCGCGGTCGCTTACAGCAGATTTGAATGCAGCCACCGTGCATGAAATCGCGGTCGCTGGTCGCGCACAGCAGATGGTCGCTCTGGACAGATCAGTTTGTATGTGAAACCGTCGGTGCACGGAAAATCGGTCGCTAACGGTAGATGGTCGCCTACAGCAGAGGTCGCTAACGGCAGATTTGACTGTATATCTAGTAACATGCTACCTGAATAAAAAAATGGTTTGTATTCAGGCAAAGTCTTGGCTTGCCATGCAGCTTGATTTTATAATCAAACAGGATTCCACTTCAAAGTACTGGTGTGAATCACCTTGGCAGTTTCCTCAATCACATCCATTTTCTTCCTTTGGAAGTCCTCCTCTATGACTGCAATGGCGTCAAGGGTGCGCTGCTGAGTGGCCTTGCGGGTAAGTTCAGGTGATTGTAATGGTCGCACCACTGCACAGCTGGCAACCTATACAATGTGAGTAAAACACAAAGGGATGGTGAAGAGAGAACGATATTGCCAGTTATTCACAACCTTCCATATACAAGAAAATATAGGCCTGGTCGCTTTCCGTTTAATAGAGCAGTTTCACAGAACTCATCAAACTCTTTGAACCCTATTATATTCCCTACATATTTGTGAGCATTTCATGAGTTTTCTTCCGCACTGTACATGAATAATGGAGCTTTATAATTATCTGTTTTGCTAGTACAGTACCTTCCTGCAGACGTACCTCCAGTTTTATCTCACGTCTGCACGTCAGAAAGTAGCGGTACAGCTCAAAGTGCTTCACCAGTGTTGTGTCTAGTTCCTTCAGCAGATCAAAGCAGTTCATCTTGTTCATCTCATTGCATGCATCTGCTGCGATGATCTTGGCTTTGAACGATAGCATCACATCCTCCAACTCAGCACCATCTAGGAATACAGTGACAAAATTTATCAATGGAACTAGGCTTAATAAAGCTGTAACTGGGAGTTCCATGGCTATCCGCCAATACTAGTAATGTTAACGAACATTTAATTCTAACGAGTTAACGAATTTGAAAGAATTGCTAACATTGGAAGTCGCTATGTGCAAAGCGATATGTAAATGTACAGTCATGTGCCGGTTTTGATACAGAATTCGTTAGAATTTCACCTTGCTAACCCACAAACATCCGGAGATCGTTAACTTTAATTGACGTTTTAACAAGTTAACGATCTGTTATTTAAAAAAATATCTGGTCTTACAGTATCTGCTAATCTCCACACAATAATGATGATACTTGGATAACAACAGGGAGGTGTATGATGCATGAATATTCAGGTAGCATTTCAAAACGACTGCTTGAGAGAGAGGATTTTTCAAGAGGCATATTATTCTGTGGACACAGTCCTGCAAGGATATTTTGGTAATTCACGATAAGTGACTGCCTCCAATGTTCATAGAATGCTCGGTAAATATAATATTATTAGAGCCTCACTACCTAGACCACATAAACAGAGCATAGGCATGCTGTTGCTCAGCATTGCGCACCTAATGCAATTCTGCAGACAGAGCTATTATCCTGGTATCCGGGTAACCGATCCGCAGCCCGTCGTGCGTCAGCCTAGAACCTGCAGTCTGGTGTGTGTCTGCCTAGAACCTGCCACATTAAAGCTGCACAATGGGCATGATGGAATGTCCCAAACTGGTGTTTGGCTCGGGGGGGGGGGGGGGGGGGGGCAGACAATCATTCAAACGTTGAAGCATTCAATGTAGATGGAGCACCAATAGTAATTGTGCCAGAACTCTGGGTTGTTCAGTAGGGAGTGCTAGTTCTCAAAGGCCATGTCACATGTATGTACGGGACAACGCGATCCCAAGCATAACTGGTGTCAGTGGTGACATCATTTCACTATTATACTGTACATGCATGAGTAGGAATTGAAGGTACATGTACATACCTTTCACCTCAACCAACAGTTCCTCAAGAATACGCACTGCAGAAGCACATTTCTCTTCAGTGAAGCACCGCGCTTTCAGCTTTCCCACAGTATCATCTTTTAGATCTAAGCAACACAGACCAAGGGAAGTGCCGAATCGAAAGAGAGATCTGTAATTTTCATAATTTACCATGAGTGTTTCAACAGTTTGACCCTACAGAATATAGTCTTCCCGATGCCCCTTGTTCTCTTCTTGCCCCACCACACGAAACACGCACGCTCATGCCCCCCCCCCCCACACACACGGAGACTCTCTCGATTAAGGCTAAGGAGAATCCATAAATGCAAATGCAAATATAAATACACAAACACAGAAACACATACACACAGAGACACACACACACAAAGACTATATGGCTGATTCCAAGCCTGGCTGCGGAAAACTTCATTCAAATACTTATCTACTGTAAGTCTACAAGTGTCGACCTCCCAGGGCTAAAACCGTTTTCAGCCGCATCACATTTTTGACCTGTACTGCTGCCGCCTATATACACTGTCACACAGAACCCTGCACAACAAAATTTCGGCCGCGACAAGTTTTCGGCCAAACATGACCAGGCCGAAAATAGCCGAGAACATGCGCCGAATATTCGTTTACTTACAGTACATGCATGCCACTAGAAGGAGCAATTTTGGCAAATACTGGACATCTTTATGATTCACCCGCTAAGCGCACCACAGAACAGCTCACATTAAGTCAAGGACACAGCCCCCTCTCCCTACTCTGATGTCGCCCCGATTTCAGCAAGGCCTACCCCTGACATTTTGCACGAAAGAACAATACTTTTGCCGTCCGAGGCAATCCTGATGATGGCTCCTGGCCAAAAACTTGATTGAAAAAAGTATACTGTTTTGCGGGGAAGAGACTACTTCCGCTTGCGATTTGTAGGCTTTATCAAAATTTAATTCAATAATGGAAGATCCATAATATTATTAAAAAAACCTAAAAGTTCTGGAAGCCATTTATGGGCCCACAATGTACCCGGTTAAAACAGCTCCTTTTTGAAAATGCTTTCAATGAGTGATGTGTCGCTTTGTTTTGCTCTAATTGGTGCTTTTCTCCAATGTAATGCAGTCGTATTTATTCAGCTTTTATTTCTTGTGTACTTGCATACTGGTGTTAGTTTAGTCCCACAACCTGCGATAAAATGATCAGCTGTAGCACCTTCTCCACTTTTATGTTTATGTATCTATGTCATTCGGATCTTCCCAAGTTGTACAATGTACTGTTGAGATACCGAATTCAAATAAATCAATACCATACCATACCATCAGCGTTTGTACGAGCCTAATTTGTGTGTACAGAAAGATAGTATGATTAGGTTGAAATCGTTCAAGTAACGTGTCGTGTTGGGTGTGGCCAAGCTTCGCCGTTAGTGTTCTAGGTGAAATGTACTGCTGTTATGTGTAATCATTCACTTTGTCCTTCTTTCCTTCTCTTGTTTTTTTCGTGTTTCATTCGCAAGTTAATTGTTAGCGCACGCATTCGTGATTGCTCTCGCTTTCTTTGTTAAAATTTACACTTGTAAATTTCACTGCTGTTGTTCTTGGTGTTATTCCTCTAACTTAGGCTTTCTATAATAGTTCAATTTTGTTTCAGTGTCCTTCAGTACAACGGCGATTCCTGATGAGTGTTGTACGAAAACATGTTTGAATCCTTGTTTTTCTCTACACTATTTCTTCCTACTTTCATCGTTTTATTGCACATTGCCTCCACCGCTTTACATTGCATGAATAAAGTATACACAAATGTCGATCCAGCTTGTCTTATTGATTGCGTTTATCAAAAAATATCTTTGTACATGCAACCAATTTCTACTTTCTTGCTCATTACTATTGACATGTTGCTACCGGCAATACCTTTTAAAATGCCAAGGCGGTCTGCCAACTTCACGTGGTCGGGTAGGCTAGCGCTTCCACTGTGTGCGTGCCGCTGCCCTCTCGGCATGACGCATGGGCAAAGACTACAGTGCACAGTGTATGTGACTGTCTCACAACCAGTAAAACTAGATTATTATTATCACGAAGGTAGCAAGTACTACTGCCAACTAAAGAGTGTGGCAAGTGGCGGCTAAGGGCCTAGGCCCCAGTCAACCAAGCGTGGCCAGACTGTCAGTTACCGCGGTATCTGCATCCAGTGATCAAAATTCATCGGAATACAACATGATGAACATAACAATAGTCGTTTCAATGGAATACCATCAGAAATCTTGTGATGAGTGATGGTACTGAAAACCTAAAAAGAAAAAGACCTACGCAAGACTCAGATTTTTCGATAGTCTGACTGTCACCACGACACGTACCTGTGACTGTCAGTCATGTGATCATGGTCCATGGATGGATCATGAAGTGCTAGTACATGTACAGTGAAGCACTGAAGGAGGTGTCATGACAACCAACCGCTGCACATAATTATTATTATTAATTTTGGCATTACCATGATTACCGGCACCGCGCATACATAATCGTGTACATGTACTATAAGCCCATGGCATGGGCTTATGAGCCCATGCCATGGCATGGGGGATGGGCTTATGTTTGGGTATAAAATATCCAGTAAAACATGTTCGTTTTTTAGCCCATGGGCCAATTTTCGAATTTTCAAGGTTCACGAAAAAGTACAAGTCCGTGCCCATATAGAGTCTACCATACACTCTTGCGTGGGGTAGTGCCTTTGCTGTTTGCGTTATGCAGAGCTCACTGACTTGTCAGTTTGAGCACTCTGGCAAGGTACAGTACGTTCGGGCCTGATTGGAATTTTTTATTTCCATTGCTATCAGGTTCGGCCTCATTTCCTCTGTGCTGCGCTGACGAGTCCACAAAGGACGAAACAGTTCTGTCCGCAGATTGAGTCTACCATACTGTACTGCCGTAGTACTGGTAAACTGCACTGACCTGCGGTACCATTGGCATTGGTAGGAAGAGTCCATATTGTGAAAAATTCTACTTTTTTATTTTAGAATTGCGATCAACAGAAACTATTGTCGCCTCGACGCCTATTTACATATTTATTTTTTATTATACGAAAGTCCACTATATTCCCGAATATGTGCGAGAAGTGGTGGCGGGGCCAGGCTGCTCTGCCGACCTCAAAGGTCTCGGCGTCTACGCAGACAAAGCGCGCCATAATGCAGTAAAACCATGGGGAGAGGAGGAAGAGGGGAAATGAATAATAGTGAGAAAAAAGGAAAATGGGTAGATGGTCGTGAGAGAAGCAGAGTGAAAGATAACGTCACATTGTGGTAAGGGGGGGGAGGATGCTAGTGAGGCACTGGTCTAAACCGTTTCATAGGGCGTCGGTGGCTGCTTGCCAGTTCAGGTGCAGCAGATACGTGTTGCATTTTTCCTTGAAGGATTGGAGCTGTCTGGGTTGCGGCCGTGCTGGTAGAATGGTCGCTGGTAGGCTGTTCCACAAGGGAATAATGCAGTCTGGGTAGGAACCCTGGAGGCTGCTACGAATGCGCACGGGCAGCGTCGACGTGAGCTGGAGCGGGTGGCACTGGGCAGTCTCCGTGGCTAACCTAGTGGATCGACCACCCACTGGGCGGGGATTGGCTCGAGGTGGGAGGATGGGCTTGCCGCTTCCACGGGCTTGTTGTTGGAAGGTAGGACAACTTGAACGTGAACGAAAGCGCAGCAACCAGTCGGCGGTGTTTCAGGCTGGGGAACCAGGCGCCTGGGCCAATCACCTTCAGTGCCTTGTGCTGGATTTTGTCCAGTCTGGATGTACCTGACCCCATCCACACCAGGCAGCAGTAATTCCATTGTTGGCCGCACGAAGCCTTTGTAGATTGCCGTACGGCCGCTGGAGTCCAACAGGGGTGCAACCTTTCTCAGGAAGTGTAGTCGTTGGGCAGTCTTTGAGGCCACGGCCCGGAGGTGTGCTGCGTAGGACAGTTGCGAGTCGAATGCTATGCCCAGAAGTTTAATGTCCTTCTCTTCAGGAACAGTCACTCCATTGAAGAGCACTGGTGGGAACGCTGGGGGAGGCTTGCGGTGGTCGATGATGAGGGCCTGAGATTTGGATGGCTCGAAGGTGACCTTCCCCTTGGAACTTGACACGCGAATTGCATTTGTGTCTGTTTATTAGCCCATGGCCGGCCCACCAAGGGCTATGACAAGGAGTCGTAGCTGGGGTATTTAAAAAAAAACATCTGCAGGCTTTCTGACAAAGCTGTATTATGCCCCTAAGCATAATTTTTGTCTAAACCGAAAGATTATGCCAACCTTACACGTTGGAATCCGTATATTATGCCGGAGCATAATTTTTTGACGAAATCCCAAGTTTATGCCAAATATTATGCCGGCATAATCCGCCAAGAGCTAGTGTTGTAGCTCTGTGGCCCTATTTTGCTTTTTCTCGAGTGTCCTTGCGTTCGTGGCAACTAACGTGTTTTGTTACTTGTTCTCTCGACATGCCACATTTCACAAAACGCGATCGAAACATGGCGGTGTCTGTTTTACAATTTTGCGAAGACGAGGAGAACAATGGGGACCGAATTGGTCTCAAGTATTCCATTCGTCGTGCTGCTGTTGCGTGTGGCGTCAGCTAACGGCGGAAATCAGCGTGCTGCGTTGGCCTTGTCTGTCTCCAGTGATTGAAGGTGACAAGAGTGACAATCCCCAATGTGAGACTCGTGGCATGAAACCACTCAACCCTGACGGATTTGCTGTGGACTGTACTAGAAAACAAGTAATTCACGTGTGTAGGGACTGGCCCGGACTGCTGAGAACGCCGACCACCTACTGCTCAAATGTCCTGGCCCGGAGGAGTAGCAGAGATCTCTCGAATTTGGCTGTATTCACATATGTACGCGAAGCCATTCTCACCGAGCCATCACAGGTCGTTCAGTTTCTGCAAATGGAAAGACTGCTTTTTAAAAGTCCTTGCCAATGTAGTAGCTCTAGGCGGCGAATGCATCCACAGATAGACTGGCTTCAGCGCGGTGCAGCAGAAGCAAGTAGACTTGAAAAAACGAACAAAGGCTCGACTTGATTGGCGAACACCCATCCCCTGGCCCTTTAGAAGCCGGTGTGGCGAGTTAAAACCAAGATTTGAAGGGTGCCAAGCTATCCTTGCTGGGTTGCTGTCCGCCAACCAAGTGCCAACAAACTGCCTCGCATAGACTTTTAAAACAACGGCCAGTCGCCAGTCTTCAAGCCAAGACTTCTCCTGTCGCCTGAGTCTCAGCGAGATAATGTAGCTGGAATTTAGTGCTGAATTTATGCAGTTCTTTAGCAATTGGCGCTGTTTTTCATTACAACAGCCTAATGCTCGTGCCAAACGTCCAAGCTACAGTAGACTCGTACGCCCAAGAACGTGGTGCCCAAGAACGTCCAGGCTGGAAATCTAAGAACGCCCCAGCCTGGATTTAAGAACGAACTCCAAGATTTAAAGAAGAGAGAGTAAGAGACGTGATATTTGAGCGCCGGTTTGTTTTGCAAGCGGATTGCACCTCCTTCATGATCTTGTCCGAGTACACTAAATAGTAAATACAATACAAGTCCGCAACCACAAACTCTTGTCGGGTCCTCGCGAAAACATCACCCATTGCAGCGCTACATACTACACGTGCATGTACGTAAAGTGTACAACCTGTACATGTACTTGAAGTAGCGCAAAGTGCATTGTACACGTACATGAGCGTCACGGGTCATGTTGGACACGTAAGAACGCGAAATAAGAACGTAGCCTGGGGCGCTGAAAAATAAGAACTTTGCTAGGCTGGCCCTCTGAAACCGCGTTCTTGGGCGTAGATCTGCGAGTCTACTGTACCATGTGTACTAGCAATAGCTTCCCTTGCCCCCCCCCCCCCCCCCCACCTCTGCTGTGAGGGCCTCGACTTCCCAGCCATTCTTCATGCACTCCTGTTTGTGGTGGCGGTACCGTGACAGCTTCTTCTCCCTGGACTGGAGGATGCGGTCTTCGCTACAAACCACGCGTGAGTTGCAGTCAAAGCACCTTTCCAGTTTCTTGGAGAAGAGAACTATGTCTGGACGACACTTGGAAGTGTGGGAATACTAGCCTCTCGTCCAGATCTGATAGAAGCTGCTAGTCATATGATCCCGATAAAAAGCCATCGCTCAGACCTTTCCGCTGAGGCAACTAACCTACTTGCCGCGGGGGATGTCTTGACCCGGTTTACAGAAGGTAATGTACGTAGTTGGAGTTTTCTTGGTATTTTTAGTGCTGGATGATGACTTTTGCTTCGCTGACCTTACTTCTGTGATGAATAGACTGATCTGTTTGAGGACATTGTCGTGCCGCCACGTGTACCTTCCTTGGAGGAGTGAGGCAGGGCAGGCGGTGAGAGTGAGCCTGAGTGTTGATGTGCGTTGACAAAGAGGGCAACTCTGGTCCACAACAGAGTTGCCCCATCGTCTCAGATTGTCGGGCGAAGGCAGTGTGTTGAGTGTGGCGTTCATTTGAAATGATAATAAAATTTAATCTTGTTCTTCCATAGCCCTCGTACAAAGGTTTGTGCCATGTTATGTCCTTGAACATTGTGTCGGCCCATTGTGTCCAGGCCCCTTGCATTTGCAGGCCTTTTAGCTGCCGGAACTGCTCCTGGCAAACGCCTTCTCAGATGGTATTCAGGATTCGTTTTCTAGGTTTTACTATGGTTGCTTTTGGTGTCGGGAAATCCTGTCCGGCTCTGGGCGGTCGGGGAGCAAGTGTGTCCGATACGACCGTTTCGGCACATTCCAATTCCACAACCGGCAAATCTCCGTTGAAGTTGAATAAGAGTTTGTATAACAGGGTGGTTTAATTATGGAGCAGCACATAGATCAAAAACCGAGTCAGCATGCCATACTAGTACTACAAACCGGGTGAAAAAAAGCAGAAACCGTCGGCCAAGTAAGTTAGTTCAGGTTAGTTCAAGGAAAGCAGCATGTTCAGTGTCTTCACTCTATGCGGGTGAGACTGAGAGTGGTTTGAATCACCTGCTTCCACCCGGTAGCTGCGTCACACACACACAGTACCGTGAACCATACCAAACCAGAGTAGGCAGCACAGTTCATGGCACAACACAGTCTTCACACGCAAAACTCACAGAACTAACTACTTGTTGCAACACTATCAGATATGGAAAACGGCAGCAAGGCAAAACACTGGAGAGCACCGAGACGTACTACTACTGATGAGTCATGATGGGACTTCCTGGTTATCAAACTGGTACTGGGCAACAGATTCGCCTCGCCAACCACATCGGCTCATCGCCCCTACTCCCCTTTGTTTTGTTGTCCAGTGTCATTTCAGTTGTCCTCTTCCCCCCGATTATTAGTAGGGCTGTGTTTGCTAGTAAAAAACATTCCCTGTAATTTTCGAGCTCGTCGCTTGCCAGACCCGCTAACCCGGACCCGCGTACCTGGCCTTGCTCAGAGTCGAGGGCTCACTGCTCACCCGTGTGTTGCATACAGTCATTTACGTGGTCACTCCAAACAGTGATTATTCACAATGTCTTGTTTTAATATCTGGTTTTATTTTTCTAAACGCAAACCGGCACTTTTGCATTCTACTTCCACACACATTTCTGTTTCCTTTTTCCTGGTGCGCGCTTGTGGCATTGAAGCCCAGACCCAGGCTTTGGTCGGTGGAGCCCCTGGCACCTCACCATCACTGCTGCCCATTGTAGCCCCTACTCAGTAGTGGTTTGTTTTTGTCCACGTAATTTATTTTACGAGTTGGGTTTGTGAATACTAGTCACCCCATGGTCTTTTGGACCATGGGGTGACGGCCATGGATGGAGGTTCCTCCTCGGATCCTCCACAACAGTCTGCACAACGGTTTGGGCTAAACAATGAGTTTAGGGTCGCTACGTTCAACATACGAGGACTCACTGCGCCATGGAAGAGGCACTCGCTCGAACGAGACCTGAAGCGGTATCGAGTTGATGTTTGTGCAGTCCAAGAAACAAAAATTTGTGAAGCAAATTGTACCGTGTTACCGCTGGGGTACCGGCTCATAACGTTCGCTCAGGACCATGGATATCAGCGAGGAGTAGGCATTGTCGTCGCTCCTCGTCGGGACCCGTTCCTGTCAAGATACTGGAGCGTTGGTGAGAGAATTGGTGTTGCGGAATTTGTTTTCCCTTGCAACAAAAATAATAGTAATTGTAAACCAACTCACAACACGGTACGTGTCATAAGTGCATATGGCCCTACCGCTGTTTCCTGTGAAGGGAACCCATCGCTGAGAGAGGAGTTCTACAGCGCCTTGTCGACTGTATGGAAAGATACAACGAGAAGCGGAGTTCTATGCTTCATCGCTGGAGACTTCAACAGCAAAGTTGGAATTCGTAAGAGAGCTGATGAAAGTAAATGGCTAGGCTCCTTCAGCAGAGGCGCCAGAAATGATAACGGACAACACATGTTGGAATGGTCAATTGAAAATGATGCCTTCTTGGCCAATACAGCTTTTCAACACCGCCAGAGCCACCGCACTACATGGACGGGTTGGCGGCAACCTGGGAGTGGAGAAGTTGGCCCACAACCTGTCTACAACCAGATCGATTTTGTTCTTTGCCGTACGCAACACAAGCCACTGCTGTGTAATGCACGTAGCTATGCAGGCTGCGAGACACCAACGGACCACAGAATAGTCATTGCCACACTGCAGCTTCGTGCGTTATTTCCAATCTGGCGGAAGGGAAACCAGACAACTAAGCGTAGCTTCAACACCTCGATGTTTACTCAGAACCCCCAGGTCTGTAGTCAATTCCAGGAGGAGGTAGACAAAGCACTGGCAACGCAACAAACGCAGCAGGGAACTGTTTCAGCTGAGGCACGTTTCGGAGGTGTGATGGATGCACTGGAGTCGGCTGCAACAAAAACAGTTGGATATAAAAAGAGAGCCGAATGTAGCCGAAAAGCCCATGATCCTGGCATAGCCCTTCTATCAGCACAACAAAAAGAACTGCGGGTAAAAATCGACTCGACAAAATGCCCAGACGGGAGGAAATCACTGAAACGCGATCGGAATCAGATATTACACCAGATACGAGATATCGCCCGGAACAACTCTGAAGCCCGCCTGGACTCCTTCGCTCAAGAAGTAGAGAAGCTGAAAAACAATGCAAGGGTCTTTCAAGCAGCCTCTTTGCTGCGGCGGCAGTCTCCCGCGCCATTGGTTGTTCATGACGCTCTTGGACGGATAATCGCCAACGATAAAGAAGCGGCAGAGAAGGTAGCTGACCACTTCAGGCAGCAGTTTCGGGATCCATCTGCAGTAAATGATATTCTGAGACCGCTGGGCTCGAAGTATCTTGAAGATAGGATCAGCGCTGCGGAGGTTGCACTGGCAATTAGATTACTCAAATCGCAGAGGGCAGCTGGGCCGGATGGCATCCCCGGGGACCTGTTCAAGCATGCTGGTGAGAGGATCGCACATGAGATCGCTGCCATTCTAAACCAATGTTTTGCGGATGGCAGTGGAATGGATCTTGGATGTGGAACACTAATCCCGCTCCCGAAACCAGGGAAACCCAGAGGGCCGCTAACCAGTATCAGGCCAATAATACTCTTGAACTCTATACGCAAATGCCTGTCAACAATCACACTTCGCAGGATTATGCCAAAGATTGACTCCTACCTATCTCCAACCCAGAGCGCTTCCCGTCCGGGTCGGAGTACCGCGGATAATGTCTGGTGTGGCCGGTGGCTGGCAGCCAAGGCTGAACGTTTCAAGTGGCAATGTACGGTCCTCGGAATGGATATGAGCAAGGCGTTCGACACAGTGCAGCGGGGGAGATTGGTGGAGGTAATGAAACAAATAGTTAACACAGATGAGGTACGAATGGTGGAGATGTTGTTGCACAACACAAGGCTAAGAGTGAAGATAAAGAATGCGCTCTCGGCAGAATTTCCAACATCAATAGGCATCCCACAAGGAGATAGTTTGTCGCCGGTGCTATTCACCTGTTATCTCGAAGCGACAATGCGTTGCCTGCGTCCCAGGATATCGCCAAGACCTGCCATACTGAATATTGGAGGGACAGCCTACACGACTGTCGATATGTCCATACCTTGCGAAACAGCATACATGGACGACGTTAACCTGTACTCCACGGACCGTCAACATCTAGCGTGCGCACTAACAGAGGCAGAGGTAGTTTTCAAAGAGTGGAACCTCAACATCAACCCTACCAAGACCGAGTGGACCCATCTATACCAAGAAGAGGCTGTTGCAAGAAGAGGTGAGGAACGATGGAGGTCCACCGGTTGCTTGGTTCACTGTACGGAGTCACAGAAGACCTCAAGCGCCGGCGCCAACAAGCCGCAGCTGCCTTCAACACACTTGTCAACCTGTGGATGCGGAGACAAGCTATCTCTGAAGCAACCCGCCTGAGGTTGTTTGATGCATTTGTGCTATCTATTTTGACCTACAACTGTGGCGTGTGGGTGCTTTCATCCCGGGATGCTACAGCAATGGATGCGTTCCACAGAAAGCAGCTCCGCCGTCTATTAGGGATATCTTACCCGGAAATTATCACCAACACAGACCTATATACCCGCTGCAATGCCGAGCCAATATCCGTACTAAGCAGAAGAGCACGGTGGAAACTGTTTGGTCATATTCTACGCCTCCCTGAAGCAACTCCAGCGCAGGTGAGCATGACAGCGTATTTCCAGCGACAGAATCGGGGCTGGCTCGGACGCCCGCGCATCACCCTACCAGTGGTGATAGACAACGAGTTAGCCAAGGCAACGTCCATGCGTCTCCGGAGTCTGAAGGACCTGGAGACACTGCGTTTGGTGGCTCGGAACAGGCAATCATTCAACGATATAATCGCACAGGTCACATTGTAGAGTGCAGATCACCTAGTGCTTTCAACAATAATAACGTACTTCCACATTATGGGAATTTGGTATAACCCCACACCCGTCATTGTTGAATATTGGATAATAGCGTGGATTTCCCCAACAATATATTTTCATTTTTTGTTATCCTCTCCCATGCCGTTGTACATAAGCGGCTTGCCGCGGATATGTCAATACTACTACTATACTAGTAAAAAAATACACCCATACACTGGTGGAAAAACAATTTCTCTTATTGACCACAGACCAACATCGTGACGATGAGAATGAAAGATGTCAAACAACAACAACAAAGAAGCAACAACTGTGTGGAACCAGCAGCCTATGTTAAAACTCTAGCCATACATGTAAGTGCAAACAACAAACTGCAGTTTTCACTACGGTATATTTACACCTGGGTATTGAATATGCACACTACAAGACTCGTGACAAATATTGCCTGGGTTATTCATGATAGAACTCTACGTTCCGTCCTTGACATGAAACGTTCGTATGTATCGTTAGAGTTTTATCACTTCAGTTCAGTATTATTGGTTTCATGCTCTTTAACTCTTCAAGAGAGGCATGTCCATTATTTATCCCAAGCACTCGAGCAAGCGGTGGAGTTGCTCCTGCCTCTCTAGCTTCTTCTCAATTTGAAAGAATCTCCTCATGACGATTGCCACGAATCTTGACACTGCAGATGGGCAAAGACACACTAGACAGGTCTTTGCAGGTACTTTTTTTCAGTTAAAGGGGAAGTATACCCTAAAATCAAATTTTCACCAGTTGTAGTCTTCGAGGTGCAGAGTCGAATGGTCTTGGTCCGAGGAAGCTGCGACGCTCCCTTCCTTCTTTTTTCCCAATCGAACCCGCGCACTTCCACCGAAACTGGGTGACTGCGCCCTACTAGATGGGGATTTGTATGCAAAATCTCACTAAAAGTGCTATGTCGTTCTTATAAAAGCACGGATGACCGCGATTGGCCCATGTGTTGTAGTCTTTTGGACGCTGAGTCGACTGGTTTTGGTTCGAAAAGGCTGCGATGCAGCGTTCCTCCTTTATTCCCAATCGAACATGGTTGAACAAGCGGTCACATGCTCCTGCGTACACCAGTCACCTGGTCACCGTGCCTGTAGGGTACAACTTACTAGCCTGTTTGACCTTTTTTGGGTGCAGTCCTGTCACTCGAGTTGAACTCGAATTGAACCTTGGTGTGAAAGTTGTCGCCTGCTGGCTGGCTCGTGGCAGAAAGTGCGAGCTCAACGTGGGGAGCAACCAACTTTCCTTTGCAATCGGGTTATTCAGGGTTGCTTAGGTCTATAAAAATAATCACGAAACATAATTATTGGAGGTCAAAAACCATTTTCAGTTCGATTTTGCTGAAATCTTTAGGGTCGCATCGTCATGAGAGTACGCAATCCACCCCCGAACAATTTGCTGACGTTCAGTAATTCCTCAAGCCTCTGAATGTGCCGATTCAGGATTGCCTGAACCTCGGTCGATTTACTTGCATCAATCTCTTTCATGGCTTTCATGGCATGCCATGGAAGGCCGAGAAAGTGATCACGACTCATCTCCCGGCAGTTTGTGCACAAACCAGTCCCTCAAAAAATCCATCACGAAGCTTTTGTTAGCGGAGGAAGTAGTAGAAAAATAATCGCCATGGAGCCAATTTGTTGCAAAATGTAAAAATTCAAAGCCTTTTGGCAGCCTATCGCATCGGGGTTTGGAATAGGAGATTCGTCTCTTTACACACAAACCTGCACTTTATAACCAAGAAAAATCTGCTTAGAAATCTGCCGCGACATGCTCTGATATTATACATGTAGGTATTACTGACATGAATACCTTTAGCCGCGAATAGAAGAACGGGTTGAAGGCCATTTATGCGGCCATACATGACGTAGACCCCTACATGTATCCTTTTCTGGAAATCGCCACCGTTCGAGAGATTTTGAATGGTCCAAATCCCTCTGAAAGTGCCCCTACTCTGATTGAGCACCATCCTGTGAAAAAGTGGCACCCCCCCCCCCCCCCTACTCATTTGTCGATTTTTGTGTTTTTCATGCCATTCAACAAAAATCCAGTCGATAGTCAGTAGCAGAGGGTTCACAAAAACAACACTTGCCCGGGGGGGGGGGGGGGGGGGTGAAATCAGGGATTCGCCCCGGTATGTTGCATTTCGCATGGCAAGACATTTAGAAAATGGAAAATGAGTAACAGGGTAACTGTTGCCCCGTCCCCGCCCTCCAACTATTGAATTGGCATAGAACCCTGCTATGTATTGCATCAAAAAGACCCTGAACATCTTTCAGTGCTGGCGACCAGTTCTGAGAGCCTTGTCAATCATCTTGATCATCATTATCACCATAGTAATTATGTACCTTGCGGAGAGACCTTGTGCAGATCACATCGCATCTTCCACCTCACCAAGTCTTCCAGCCTTTTTGCAAGCAGTTTGAACAAGTCCTAGGCAAGCACAAACAGGGCACAATACTCCAGCTGGATGTATGCAGCCATAAAATTACACCATTCACAATGATTCACACTGTGACTTGTCACGAGCGAACATGTGGCAAAGAAGAAAAAAAACTGAGATCCTTGAAATCGCACTGCAAAAGCGCTGCCGCTTGAGAATTGCACACAACAATTTTTTGGAGTGGAGGTCTTCACAAACCAAAGCAATGGTAACAAATATACGACCACGTCGATTGTATATCACGCATGTCATGTCGCTGGCATCCAAATTATATCATAAAGGAACTTTGACCAATGCATACTGGTGAGACGTGAGATCTTTCTCGGCTTGCCATGCCAGTAACAACAAAGAAGTAAAGTTAGCATATCCGCCATGGCAGTGGAGTGCAAAATTTCACACTCGAATGCCGCTATTGCCGTGAACAGACTTTGTAGGACCAGTTTGTAGGACCACTTCCAAAACACGTGGGCTCCATCTTCACACCCTTTGCAACGATCAGATAAAAGGTGGAGTACAGGGAATGAATCACGTTTGTATACGCTAGAAGCACTGGCCTACCAAACCACTGAGACCAGGGTCTAGGCAAGCTATCACAAAAATACAGTTACCAGTAAATACATGCGACACAGAGCACCACACATCATTCCTGGTAACTAATTGTTTCATGCCCCCCCCCCCCCCCCCCCGTAGGCAATCAACAGACAACTAAGTCTGCAGATACCACTATACAAGTTCAAATTCTCATGAACGAAATGCCCGTGGACAACTGCATGGCTTGATAGTGTGGCTTGGCCTGCTCTGCAGCTGACATCTAGGAAGCACGGAATATTGAACTAGCACCAGGACAGTACCGGTAGACATTTGAAAGAATTGTCTGAGGCGCGAGGGCTCGGATATCCAAGACGGCAATAGGCGTGGGCAAGCATAGCATGCTGACCTTCCGTCTCTGTGTTTGCTATTCTGTTTCGTTACCTTTCGAACTCTGAACTCTATGTTCCTCGATATCGGCGCACTCCCTTAAGCTGAGCATGCATCATCACAAACTACTGCACACTCACTAAGGTGGTCGTGTGGCATTCTACAATTATGGTAACAGTTTAAACTAAATCCACGGTTTACGCGAGACTCGGCTAGAGGCCGAGTTTTCCGCAAAACAGTTGCATGACTTGTAATAGTGTAATAGTTAGGCTTAAAAATTATGGCCAGAAGTAATCATAGTTAATTCAGCCATTTCCCCGGATGGTCAACATTCAACGCACGCTTTCCGTCCACTTTCTGGTCGTGTAATATCACTTAATGTGCTTAGAACAGCACTTGGCAAGCTACAACTTGCACACAAAATTCACGGTTCGCGCGAGACTCGGTTGGAGGGCTGAGTTTTCCGCATCCACAGCAACGCCACCACCCTCTAAGATCAACGGGCGGATTCAGCTAACAAGCGGTGGGAGGCGAGTAGAAAAGACCCACCACAAAGTAGTCAAAGACCGAAAATCCTATTCACTGCATCCAGGCTTCCCTCGTGCCAGGCCACGGGTTCCCAATTAACCGTGGGTCGCACCACGGGCGGAAAAAACCCTTCCGCTTCCAAGCAGGACTTGAACCGGGTACCCTCTGTTCCTCAATCACAGTCTTAGACCACATCCCCAGAGATGCTGTGTAGGATAAAGTAGGCACAAGACTTTCCACTACTTCAGTACAACACCGCACATCCTAACGAAGACAGTTTGGGGAATGTCATTATACCGAAAAACACTGAGCAGTTGAATAGCAGGTCTTTCTAAAATTACACTCCTTTGATCATTTTGAGTTGCTTTCCATCACTTCTTTTCAAAGCACCCAGAGCTAGCTCACAGCGATTTTCTTGCATGCACTGAATCCCAGGGCCAGCTCATCGCAGGCATTTCCTTGCATAGACTGAAAGCAAGGAGCGCGGAAAGCAACATCGAAGCATTTGATTGGAACAAGCCTCCTATTTCCCCCAATTACTACACGATGATCCTTATTCAAGTGTGTACCTACATGTATATTGACCGTGATAATGGGCCAGGCCCGGAAAACTGGTGCATTACACATTGATTCGAATCGCAGTAAATGGACCTGTCGGATCACTGGACTCGTAATCTCGTGCTGTCCGGGCTGTCACAACCCTCACTAATAAAGTCACTTGACTCTCACAACAGACACGATGGAACAGGACTCAGACAAGGAGAAAGGTATTATTCGGAAGGACTTATTGCAAGAACAAACACATCATTCGAGCAGAGGAAAACAAACTACAACTTGTCTCCACTTGCGAAACATAAAACTAACAACAGCACTGGCTACACTATCAGTACATGTATGAATAAGGGCAGGTTGCATGCACATATGGATGAAAGTACTGCTCACGGTTCACATGGTTCAGGTCGTGCGAGCCGCGAGCACGCGCGTGTGCCCGAAACGCGTATGCACAGATGGTGACATGAGACAAGACATAACTCAGTGTCGCGACCTATTAATACATGTAGTAATATTACTAATCGTATGATGGAAGAAGGTGGAGGACCGAACATACCTCCCTCTCGAACGAAAAGAAACTTCTATGAGTGAGAATCTATTTCACACACAGATTTATGTGAGAAGATGAAAGCAAAGTATGAGCGGAACACACATTACTGATCACTCGGTGATGTCACCAATGGTCATGCCGGTGTTGACGCTGCGAATGGCGTTTGCGGGTGAAGCGTCGGGTACCTCCAGCGGCACAAGGCGGCCAACTGAACGACGGTAGATCTTGCCGTTGATCTTGATGTCCACGACGCGCACTACACCATCTTCACCGGGGTACGTAGCTTGCACTCTCCCGAGTGGCCAGCGGGCTCGTGGCGTGTGCTCCTCAAGCACAATCATGACATCACCTACTTTGACATTCTGCTCGCCGCGGTGCCATTTGGAGCGCACATTCAGCTTCGGCACAACTTCCTTGAGCCACCTGCTCCACACGTCACGTGTCAGCCGCTGAACATACTTCCAACGGCGATGTGGGTGTACCACTCGTTCTGCATCAGCAACATCTTCCAGGGCAGCAGAGACATCTTGATGGCCAACAAGAAAGTGCAGCGGTGTCAGGGGGGCCGGGTCATCAGCATCGCTTGAAACGACAGTCAGCGGACGCGAATTCAGCAACGCTTCGGCTTGAATTAGCGCTGTCTGGAGCTCCTCATCAGTCAAGTCGGCACGGTACAACACGGACTGGAGAGCCTTCTTCATTGCCTTGACCAGGCACTCAAAATAGCCACCAAAATGGGGCGACAACGGTGGGTTGAAACGCCATTTGATGCCTTGTGTAGCGAGTCGCTGGCCTGCTTGCTCACTAGCTTGACTCCAAGCCTCCCTCAGCTCTCGCTCGGCGGCAACAAAGTTTGTTCCGTTGTCCGAAAGAATCTCTGTAGGAGTTCCGCGGCGCTTGCAGAAGCGAGTGAAGCATAGGAGGAAGCCGTCCACATCCAAAGAGTTGACAACTTCCAGATGGCAGGCGCCTGTCTGCAGACATTTGAACACGCATACATACCGCTTCAGCTGGGTACGACCTCTGCCCTGCCGAGTGTGGAACGGGCCGGCAAAGTCAATACCAACGCGAGAGAAGGTTTGCAGTGGTGGTGCTGTGCGGAAGACAGGAAGCTGGCCCATGACTGGATTGGCTGTCCTAGCCCAGGTTCTGCGACACTTCACGCAAGCATGGCGGTGGGAACGCACAGCCATCTTGCCACGAACAATCCAAAACTTGTCGGCCAGATTGGAGAGGAGGTGGTTGGGCCCGACTGAGTGGCGACAGCGGTCATCCTCGCGTCCAATCACCAGCTGGGTGACGCGGTGCCTTGGGGGCAGGATGGTGGGACTCCTCAGCTCGCCAGGGAGATGGTGGGACGTCTGTAGTCGACCACCGACCCGCATGACTGGGATGCCGTGAGACTGATCCATGGTAGGTCGCAGCTGCACCAACGCATCCGAACCCAGCAGCTCCTTGTTGCCCAGGACACGTTTGAACACTTCTGGATACGCATCTTGCTGAGCCTGACTGATCCAGAGACGCTCCGCTTGTTGCAGCTCCTCTGCCGAGAGTTCGTTGATGACAAGCGTCCCAGTCTTTGTAGCCACAGTGACCTGCTGTTGACTGCTATCCGCTGGCTGTGGTTTACGGCGCGCACGGCGAGCAAACCTACGGCACCAGCCTGTGATGCGAATCAGCTTGTCCAGCGATGAGTACCGGGCTGGACCAAGATCAGTGGGTGCTGCAGCAGTAGAACTTCCGACGAAGCTAGCACACATGGATTTCTTTGTCAGTCCTGGCAGCTCCTGGGGAACGACAATCTGCTTTGCTGGCCATTCAGATTCCGGAGCAGCAAGAAACGCAGGGCCATGCCACCAGACTTCATTGATCGCGAGCTGCGCAGCAGAGAGACCGCGAGTGGCTTGGTCGGCAGGATTCCGTTTACCAGGTACGTGCTGCCAGTGCCGGCTACTGGTGGTTTCCTGAATCTCCGAGATCCGGTTCCCAACCTCAACCTTGAACTTGCGGCTTGGAGATCTCACCCAGTAAAGAACATTCATAGAATCCGTCCAGAAGAACCGGCGGGCCGATGGAATGCTTAGAGCAACGCCGACATTGGCACCCAGCCGACCGCCAAGCACAGCGGCTTGAAGCTCTAGCATGGGTATGGACTTGCGACGGACCGGGGAGGGTCGGGCCTTTGCCATGGCGAGTGTCACTCTGTTGACGCCATCAGTCTGCGGTGATAGCACGTACGTCACAGCGGCATAAGCGGCATCGGATGCATCGCAGAACGTGTGCAACTGCAGCTCTCCCCTGCTGTCGGCAGTCTTGAAGCTTCGTTCAATGTTGAGAGAGCTGAGGTCTTCAAACTCGCTGAACCACCGCTTCCACTTCACAGCTTGTTCGTGGCCAAGAGGATCGTCCCATCCCAACCCGCTGATGCAGCTCTGCTGGAAG